ATCAATGATGACAGCAACATAGACTTCATGGTAGGTCCATAAACATGTCACCTCCACACTGACTGACTTTTTTTAACAGCTACAGAGAGATGAGATTGTGCATGTTCTTCAGAAATAATCCCCCATTATGTCTGTTTCCAGGTGGCCTGCATGCAGTTTATTAACATCGTGGTCCATTCAGTGGAGAACATGAACTTCCGAGTTCATCTACAGTATGAGTTCACTCACCTCGGGCTGGACAAATATCTTGAGGTGAGTCTGTAAAAATGTCTCAGAGTAAACCGCTGGTGTCTGCAGGTCAGTCTTTATCAGTCAAAAGTTAGAGCTGCTGTAGTTGATACTCTTTAAATCACAACAGATCCAGCCACAGAGTGAAAAGGGGGCACCTGCAGCAATGAACTTATTCAGTGAAAAATGTCTTAAAGGCACAGCACACCATTCAGCACCCAAAAGAATAAAAATACGTTTGCAATAATTACACAATTATTCTTTTTAATGCCAATCATAAGATTTATTTTGTTAAAGTTATTATTATCTGTGTTCATGTGAAAGGGTCTGAAGCTTACAGAGTCGGAGAAGCTGCAGGTGCAGATCCAGGCTTACCTGGACAATGTGTTGGATGTAGGAGCCCTACTGGAGGACGCTGAGAACAGAGGAGGGGTGCTGGAGCACGTGGATGAACTGCAGGAGCACAACTCACAGGTCAGACACATAAATGGGAAAAAAAAAAAAAAAAAATGAAGATGAATTTGTAAAAGTTGTGATGTTGAAGGACTGTCGCCTGTGTCTTAGCTGAGCGGTCGGCTTCAGGAGATCGAGAATCTGTCTGTAGAGAGGATATCTGACCTGGAGACTCAGCTCATGCAGGCCACCAAGGAGACCGAGCTGCTCAAAGTAAGTATGCTGCTGTATGACAGGATCTATGTGTAATGACACAGATAAGCCAAGGTGAAGCATTCTCACATTGATTTGTTATTAATGAGTGCAAAGGAGTGAGTTGTTACATGACCTCAATAATCTCAATTAAGAAGTACATTCAAATCAAATCACCTTCAGTATAACATTAAAACGAGGAGAGTAATTGCACTTTTACCTGCAGATGATTATCCATAGATGACACGCAGTGTTTGTCCACACTCAAATATCTCTCCATATAACAACCATGTTTACATTGTCAGGACATTTTGAACAAACTTTAATTAAGGACACAGTCTAATAAATCCATTTTTTCTCTTAAAGCACCTCCACGAGGTTAACATTTTTTTTTATCTAGAGTGAGTTTTTTCTGGTAAAATATAACTTCTGCTTCAGAACATGTCTCCTTCAATTCTAAAGAAAGACTGTTTTTGTGCACCCTGTGTTTACAGTTTTGTGTTTTTCAGGAGAGTCTGAGAGAGTCCTGTTCTCAGGTCAGCTCCTTGCAGCAGAGAGAGCGAGAGCGGGAGCTGGACAGGGAGCGGGAGAGGGACAGGGAGCGTCTGAGCACCTCCGCCCCTCAGATGTCCTCAGAGCTGGAGCAGAAGATCCAGGAGCTGCAGGACAAAGGATTGATTCGACTGGGACGCAGCGCCTCGGGAGGTCTGGACGTCCAGGTGGTGCCTGTGACGGTGGTCGAATACATCCAAGCACCGGCCTCAGCTGACCCTCCTGCTGCTGCATCCTCTGTCACTGATTCTGAATCCCAACAGCCCAGCTGTTCAGGCCCTCCACCTCCACCTCCACCTCCACCTCCTCCTGGAGGACCAGGGTCTGTTGCCGCTTCACCTCCACCTCCGCCACCTCCACCTCTACCAGGAGCTCCCCCACCTCCTCTTGCTCCTGGAGGAGGTCCCCCACCTCCACCTCCTCCTCCTCCTCCTCCCCGGTAGTGGACCCCCACCTCCTCCTCCTCCTCCTGGTTCTGGACCCCCACCTCCACCTGCCCCACCTGGTGGCGGACCCCCACCTCCTCCTGGAGCACCCAAATGCTCAGTCTGGTAAGCGTTTTTGATTTTAAAAAAAAGTGTGGAAAGTTGTCAAGAGTCAAGTTCTTCTTCATTTGATTTTTTTCCCTCCTCCTTTTCTTTCTTCAGGGCTCAAGGCAAAGAAACCCATTCAGACCAAGTTCAAGATGCCCTTGTTAAACTGGCAGGCCTTAAAACCAAACCAGGTGACAGGCACAGTCTTCAATGAACTGGATGACGAGCAGATCTTAGGGGTAAGAAGATGCCACCTCTAATCTTTTTTAAAATGTTCACTCTACTGTTTTTTTCTTTTGGAAAACTTGGCCTTTAAAATGTCGATATAATGTTTAACTTCCTGCATCAGGAGCTGAACATGGAGATATTTGAGGAACAGTTTAAGACTCGGGCACAGGGTGCTCCAAAAGACCTGTCCAAGATCAACAAGAAGGTACTCCAGAAGGCCCCCAGCAAGACCACCCTGATTGACGGCAATAAGGCCAAGAATCTGGCCATCACTTTACGCAAGGGAGGAATGAACCCATCAGGACTCTGCGCCGCTATCGAGACGTATGTGCTTTATTGGAGACCTTCCCCCTTCTCTCTAACACATTCCAACTGGATGACTATCATGACTCTTTTTCGACAGGTACGACCAGCAGTCTCTGTCCGTAGACTTCCTGGAGTTACTCGAGCACTTCATACCGTCAGATTTCGAGATGAAGCTGCTTCTGAACTACGAGAAAGATGGCCGCCCGCTCGAGGAACTGACTGACGAGGACCAGTTTATTTTACGCTTTGGGAAGATTCCTCGTCTAAAGCAGCGAATAAACACTCTCATCTTCATGGGCAACTTCCCAGAGACTGTCAAACGCCTGCAGCCGGTCAGTTTGTCAAATATATTACAGTCATTATTGACTGGCCTCTGAAAATACTTTAGAAATTGAGGGTTCTCATTTTGTTTTGACCTCACCCACAGCAACTGAACTCCATTATTGCTGCATCAATGTCCGTCAAGTCGTCAGCCAAACTGAAGAAGATCTTAGAGGTAATTAAAGGATAATATGACATGCAAGTGTATCTTCTATGTCTTTTGAGTTTTCTCACAAGTCTTCTCATGTGTTCCCTTCCAGATTATTCTCGCCTTTGGAAACTACATGAACAGCAGTAAAAGGGGCGCCGTTTATGGGTTTCGGCTGCAGAGTCTGGACCTTGTAAGTAGCATTTTGTTCTTCTACAAATCAAAAGTTCAAGCAATAAGCATTCAAATGACCTTGAGCAGTCTCATTCTTTTAGCTGTTGAGTTATTTTAAAACTAATGAAAACTTACCAACTTCACCTTTTTTAGTTGTTTGAGACCAAATCAACTGATCGCTCCCAGACGTTACTTCAATTCATCACCAGCATCATCCAGGAAAAATACCCCGACTTGGAAAATTTCCACACCGAGCTACACTTTGTAGACAAGGCAGCACTTGGTATGTTAACACTAAATAGATCGTCTGTTCTGTAACCTGTGGTTGAAATTGAGATTTGTTTCACACTTACTGGTGTTTTCGTTCTGCAGTATCACTGGATGGCATTCTTCAGGATATCCGCTCATTAGAACGAGGAATGGAGATGACCAAAAAGGAATTCCTGGTGCAGGATGACAGTCCTGTGCTGAAGGAATTCATTAAAACCAACAGTGAGCAGCTGGAAACTTTCATCAAAGACAGCAAGACAGCGCAGGTTTGCCTTTCACACAACTCTGATCACATAGATGTATATCTTCCTTTGGATGTATTTTTCATCCAGTTGTTGTTCTTCCTCTCTCTCCAGGAGGCGTACTTCTCTGTGGTGGAGTATTTTGGCGAGAACCCCAAAACCACACAGCCTTCCATGTTTTTCCCGCTGTTTGTACGCTTGATAAGGGCCTATAAGGTGAGAATGTGAACTAGCTCTCTGATACTCATGCACAACAAACGCTGCATGTAAGGCTAACTGTTTTGCCCTGGATTAAACACAGGCAGCACTGCAGGACATCGAGCAGAAAAAGAAAATGGAGAGAGAGAGCAAAGAGGGAAAAGACAACATGTCTCCAAACAAGCCTGGGGCTCAAAAGGTAAATGATTTTCTGAAATTAAATATCCAATGTTTTTTTATACCCAGGTATCATAATATCATAATAGCTTTTGGGTTATTTGAAAGGTTAAGTTGCTTGGGAATGCTACATACAGTGTAAACCAACAATTCTGCAGTTACAACACATGTAACTAAAGCTCTGAGAGGGTTGTTTCATTAATCTTAAATGCTTCTTTTGATTCTTGCACCATAAGGGGCCTATGATGCCTAAGATGCCCCAGATGGACCTGATAGCTGAGCTGAAGAAGAGGCAGGTGAAACCACAGGTACGCGAAGGGAAGGATGGCGCCCTGGAGGACATCATCACAGGTACGGTAACACGATTCCCCCCTGCAGGAGATGATTGGGGAGGTTTTTAAGCATGTGTGCTGCATGTTAGACGTCTATGGGATGTTGAATCTTGCCTTGTCTTTTCCCCCGACTCAGATTTAAGGAACACACCGTTCAGGCCGACAGATGGTCGTCGGCCGGCACAGCGCCAGGACACTTGAGCTACTTCTGTTCAAAGACTTTTTTTTTTTTTTAAATAATGAAACGGAACCACTTATAAGCATACAGATAAAAGAACAGGATTTAAACTTTCTGTATATAGTTTATGAAACATATCTATTAAGCGATTTGGCAGTGTGTATTTTTGCAAACATTTTAGCGTGAATTTGCTGTGTAAATAGAGATTGAATTATTGAATGTTTCTATTAAAAACGTCCATGAATTTGATTTCAAATCTGTTAAAAAAAAAAAAAAAACAATTTTGATTATTACTGTGTTGCCTCATGGCTTTGTATGCTCTAAATTTGTAGTGTTGTTATCTATTCAGTATCAAGACAAACTTTACTTTAAATAAACACACTTTTGAACCAATTACTTTTGTTTTTCTTTACAAAATGAGAGTTTTTCCACAGTGTGAAGGGTTTATAAAGCAAGATGAGACGCCACCAGTGTACAAGAGAGCTGCACTTTATTGGACACACAATCACAGCAAATTATGTACAAAAGAAGGCAGGGTCAACTGCCGACTGTCTTCTCACAGGAAAAACACACATTTCTCACAGAATATCATGGCATCCACACTGATAAATTAGTATCTCCAGTGTCAGTAGGCTTTTAAATTTATATATTATCATTATATTATAGATCTATTTTCTGTATTATTTTTGTTCTTATATCACACTACTCTACAAGTGGGAGAATCACTCAGTGGAAAGAGTGCACCATCACTGGTGGCTTCTCTGGTTGGGGTGCGTTCAAGCATTCCGAATCCTTCTAGACATTCAAACACTCTCGGCCACTATCATCATCCTCATGGTCACATAACGTCACAGTAAGACTGAGCATGCCTGTGTCACAGATACCCAAACATCTGTCTCATTCCTCCGTGTTTGGAAACCACTTTTTCTCTTTCTCTCTCGATCTCATTTTCTTGGAAAAAAAACATGTAGACAACATTTTTTTTTCGACTGCACCGTGCGATTGCTTTGAGACTATTCATGCATTGTTTTGTATATACCTTTTGTACCCTTTGCCATAGTTTATTAATAAAACATCTTCTTTTGGACATAACAATTTGAAGAACTCGCTAGGAATGACTCGGCCTATTTACAAGTCAATTTTGTTTTTCTACTTTTTGATGCCAAGACTTTTGAACATCCACACATTCATGTAAAAACCTCATATACATACTATATAGAATGTAGGTTCATATAAAAAAAAAGATAAAATGGCAAAGAGAAGACAAAACTTTAAATTCATACAACTCTACATGAAGTCCTTTACTGACCCATCTTGGTGGCTTGAATATCTTTTTGTGGTTTAGCTTTGTATGCTACTTAGAGCCTCTCAGTGCAACAACTGGAGCTAAACAAAATATGCTTCCAACTGTTGAAAGTTAAGAGCCTGCTGTCTCTGAATGCTGAGTACTGAGCATCAACATTCACATTTCTACCACTCAGGTCCACATGCAAACATGACACAGAGGGACATTAAAGCCATATACTTTCTTTTGTCAAAGCAGCAAGGCTCTGTGTAAAGCCTTTGAGCAATAAACTGACCTTTCACAGTAGTACCCATGATACATCTTTGTTTCGGACCATTCCTTCCTCACTAATACCGGCTGAATCACAAATACAGGATGGGGTAAAACAGAACAAACTAAACAAAAAAAACAGAGCACAGGTTCAGAAAACAACCCCTTAAAACAACAAAAAAAAAACTTGTAGCAAAATAAGTCCCTAAGCACAGGCACTGGTCCAGCGTCTCACACCTCATAAGAGATCCTTCACATAAGGAGGCGAAGGTGCGACTGAGCTGGACAAGCGTTTTCAGGGACAAGCTTGATCATAAATCAAAATGACATAAACCCTTAATCAGTGTTCATAACGAAAAATCCTAGAATTAAAAAAAGGAACATCAGTGTATTTTACAGAGAGTAACTGTTATCTATACAGATATTTTTAAACAAATATAAAAATGTTCTGTGTATGAATAAATAATCTCAGTGTGAAATGTAATATCTCTGTCAATGACTTAAAAAAGAAAAATCTGTACAAAATGGTCACTAATATATAAAAACTGAAGAGATGATGACATTGTACAGTATATAATTGAATCTAGGCCTATATATATATCACACTTTTCTTCACAATTATAATATCATACACAAACATCTCACTTAGATATATTTATAGATGTATATTTCTTCTAGTTTTCATTTCAAGTTTGCATGAGTTTTACTGATTGCCAGGGGCATCCACCGCGAGTGTCTTCAACATGCCCTCCAAAGCCTCCGGCCGTGTTGCAATCACAGCCAACTAACACTTGTCTCGAGAATATTATTCCAGGGAGCACTATCACGCATTTCTCGGAGGTTTCATCTCAGACTTAACTTGGGGAAAGCAGCCGAGCGTGAACACTTCCTCCCCAACGCTCACCAGACGCGATTGCAGCGAATTTAACTCCGAGAGTTATGGATTGAGTGTGGAACAGCATGAGTAAGTGAATTCCTTTCATTTGACTTCACTCAATATGAAACCCAGGGCTTGAACCTGCCTGGCAGAGCTACAGAGCGCCCACGGTGAGGCTTAGAGTCGCAGTGCTGTGAGCTTTTTGCACATTGTTAGAAATCAGGGAGAGTTTAGTGAAATGCCACCGCTGCAACCTGACACACTCTGCATTTCAAGTGCTCTTTTCTTTTTCTGCGAGAAAATGGGAAGAAGCCCATTCCCGCAGACTCTTCTTTGGGTAAAAGTGTTATTCTGTCATTGCTGCTAATCTAACACTGTAGTAGAAGATCATTCCTGGCAAGAACAAAGTCTTAGAGGCACTGGGAGAAACATGGTAGCAGGTCCTTGCAGACAAACAGGCCTCCCTCAAAGGCAAAGACCACTGCCTTGGTGCAATTGTAAGAGTGCTAATAACACACTGAACACTTTCACTGTTCATGAATCAAGGCCCATTAAACCTTATCCAAGGCTAGCCTTAACTGACTGGTGTTCATTTCACAGACCAAAGACAAAGCAAAGTGAAAGGGGCTAGGGAAAGAACAGCCGCTTATTGGCTCTCTGACTGTCAGACACTTCCTCTCATCTCTTTGGGTCTTTTATATCACAAGCCCCCTCAATGGCCTTATTAAAGTAGCCTTCAAACACATGTCCCCAAACTAATCCCCTCTCCTCAAGCTGCCGACTCTTTGACACGAGCTCCTTTTGCACATGTTTTAATCTCAATGCCACAAAGAATTGATTTCACACAGTTATTCTAGAGAACGTCTGAGAAGAATATCACTTCTGTGTCTGTGACTGGCTGTTCAACCTTGTCGCCTCCCCAAGTGGGCAGCCTTAAGGCGACTACGCAGGAAAGGGAGATTCAAAGAAAAGGTTCCTTGTGCAGAGTGTACACTTAGGGAATCACGGGCAGGCCTTTGATGTGCTTTAACTTCAACTGCTGTTGTTAAGGCCAACTAGAGGCCTAACAATCAGGACTGTTTCCATGTTTAACAGGAGGAAAAAGAAACCAAATGAAGCAACAGCAATACTGTCTCACAGTAAGAAATATCAGGGATCTTCTTTTCTTCCTTGAAGAAACATTTGGGGCTTTGTGCTTGTCACAGTTAACCAGATTCAAGGGGTCAAAATTAGAGGAAAGAGTTGCCTATTTAACAGGAAACACTCAGGGGTCAAAATGTACTTGATATTTCCAAATATGTGCTGACTAACCTTCTTTTCATTTCAAACACTACTCGAAAGTTGAAACAGTGTGAGAGGTGTTTAAGTGCGATCATTTCACTGCTGTGGAATTTGCATTTGTGGAAATGCATTTTGTTCTTGTTCAAAGACGAAATGAGACCTGCAAATTGCTGAAAACTTTGAACGCTTCATCCCAGCAGATAACCTTTTAAGTTCAAAAGCAACGGCTGTCTCGTTAGAAACTACTCCATCCGTCGGATACTTAAAAGAGTGAAATCGTGTCCTGTTTGATGTGGCAAATTGAAGCAGAATGCTCTTTTTTCAGTTATGCGACAGCTGTGACTTAAAAAGACGAATCATCACACACTTGGTGGCTGAGACAAAAACGTGTAAAATCCATGCTTCTGCAAACAGCGTCATGTGTGACAGCTATGTGTGTGTGTGTTGAATATCACTGTGTGTGTGCTATAGAAGCGTTTTTCATGTCAGGCGCTGAAATGCAAGAGCAACCTGTAGTCTTACTGCAGAAACATCCTGATTGTCATAATTAATTAACATTGATTAATTAATACACATATACAGTTATCCATCAATGATAAAAGTTTTACTATTGCCCCCCCCCCCCCTTTGTTGTGTCACTGTTCCTCCAGTTTCTGTTTTCAATAGAAAATGTGCTGATGTTACTCTACTTGCTACAATGTGCTTTTTTTTCAAGTTAAAAGGGAGTTTTAAAATGTAAAATCTTCAATAATTTGTTCTTAATTTTTGATGCAATAATTTCTTTTTTTTTTTTGGAGTGATGGATGTAAATATTCAAACAGTACGGCATGAAATCAAAGCAGGCTCTCAGATCAGACACTGGTCTTGCAACAAAGCACAGGTCAGAGATCAGGATGTGAGACCATCATGTAAACTTGTTACAAAGTGTGAACAAACAGAGGGAAAATATAGCACCAGGTAAGAGTTTCAAACACAGGCCACACAAGAAAAAAAAAAAAAAAAAGGTGCCACGAATGCCCCTTCAACACAAAACAGCTTTTAAACCACAATCACCTTGATCTACTTTGTTTTGTGCACATTCTGTCAGGTGATGCAAGTAACTGAGAGCTATATTACCCTGAACACACACAACGACGGGACTCACTTGATGATTATTGCAGCTCCATTTTTCTATGATAAAAGTCACAGTCTGAAAAAAAAAAAAAAAAGATTTCTACTCCACTAACATCCCATAGAGTGAGGGTACAGTGTGCACATGGCTGCTACTGTCGGTAAACCCATCCAGACCATTTCAGCTTAGAGCCTTAGAGCAGGCCACGGATAAGGAGGGGAGGCCCTTTTGTTGAGAAGAGGCCTCATTTGTGTTCTCTCTTACTTGCAAACTGGCAGTATAACGTTGTGGGAGAACTGCAGAGGAAATATGGAAACCAGATCAGAGCTGGAAAAACCCTCCAAGAAAAAAAAAAAAATGTCCAAGAAGAATGTGACCGTGATCATTTACAGTCCAGTAGTTCTTTCAATTGAAATATGAAGACTGCAAACTGAAAACGAGGCCAGAAGTAGAGAGAAAGAAGAGTGAAATACTCCTGAAGCAAAACAAGACTCCAAAAAGAGAAAATGATGGAATTTTCTATAATAATTTTATCTTCATGGTCATGATGTGATGGTGCTTGAATCCTCTTATATCCTCATCATCCTTATCACGGAGAGTTTCCAGGGGTGAGATCCTTCTTCACAGGCTCACTGCCGCCTTCCTTGCAGTTGTCGAGGCTATAACCGCTGCGCTTTAGAAGCCCAGAAGAGAGGCTGAGGGGACTCAAAGGGGTGGGAGAGGAGGGAGAGAGGGAGGGAGTCGGAGTGGTTGGGGAAGAGGACGAGGGGGAGGGAGTAGCAGGGGGAGTTGGGGAGGAGGACTGGCTACTTTGCAAGGTCAAAGAGGAGGCTCGCTGCTCTCGTAGAAGGCGGTGATGACGGATGGCGGAGGAGAGGAGCAGGGCTTCAGCGCTCAGGCCGGCAGCTGACAGGCTCGCCAGCAGGGCCTTCGCTTGGATAGGGGAGGCCGTCAAGGAGGGAAATGACCCATCCTGGGGGTATTTCCTCAGGCCAGGGGCAAACCCTGCTGCAGGAGAGGGCACTCGGCCTGAGAAAATGCCCGTTTTGATACCAGAGAGGTATGGCTCCATACTGCCGCGGGTGCTGTTGGTCCCCAAGGCCTTCAGGGAGAGCAGGGCCAAAAGAAACAGGGAAGGGGAGGGGAGGTTTCAGGGATCAAAGGGGAAATCATGAGAGTTAAAGTCTGAAAATTGACTGGGCACTGTCCCCTGCAGCTCCTTCCCTTCCCATTACAGTCAAACATGCCCGTGCATGCATGCTTGCACACACACACACACACACACACACACACACACACACACACACACACACACACACACAAGCTCACACTCTTCCACTAACACACACAGACTGGGGTTCAGTGTAGATTTTGGAGGGGCAAAGTAAAAGGGGCAGATGGATGTGTGTAGCTCTCCATTTGGGTTAACAGGAGGAGGAGGAGGAGGAGGAGGAGGAAGCTGAAGAGGCTGGACACGCACAGGTCGCTCACTGCTGCAGGGTCACACGAACAGTAGGTGGGGGTGTGGTTGGCCGCAGGCACAGGTGTCAGAAGAAACATGTAGTGGAGGGGGAAGGGGTGAGGGAAACAAAACAAGAGACACAGGAGATTGTTATTCAGGTTGATATCAGCATGTGTGATGCAAGCCATGAGACAGGCTGCCATCTACACATGACGACCAAACCACTGATAAATACAGCTTCTGTCACAGGGGGGCAACACTAACATACATACAAATAAATACAAACTTACACCATTGTTAATCACCTTTATTTTGACATTTGTTTTAATGATGTTTTCTCATTAAAAAATGCAAAATACGTTTATGGACAGACAGCCGCATACTTTCAGTCTCATGTAATGCTGGAAAGAGTCATTAGATGGCACTGTTCAAACAGTATGAAACTTGCTTCACAGTCACAACATGGGGTTGTCTCTGGTTTGCAGGTAGGTGGAAATGAATGCATCTGTCAGAATAGGTTGATATATTTTGCTCTGACTGTCCCCTCGACCTAAAACCTTACCATTACTGTACAATATTTCTACACAACAGGGATGCTCTTTTTATGTTTTCTTGTAAGAAGCAGGGGCAGTAAAGTTTTTGCTGCGGCTCTAAAAGTTTTTAAATGTGTTTGTTTAGGGATTATGAGGATTAGTTCTGAATAAAGAAGAGCAGGTGTGCTGGTCTGGACTGTGCTGCTGGTAGGCTTACACCTGCTCTGGTGAAGCTCCAGCCTGTGCTCCCAACCGTCCCTGGAGAGCGCGGCTGTTCCTTCTGCTCGAGGAACTCCTCTCAAGCCTGGCCGACACGTTTATTCTGGTCTGTGAGTGCTGCAGAGCAGCCATCCTTCATCTCTTGAACTCAAAGCTGCCTGCCAAATAACAGCCCCACAGGAAAGGTCTTCACAACCTCCACATCATGCCCGCTACCTTTAACTAGCCTGTTTTACCGCCAGAAGTAATAAGAGGCCAAACGGGAAATGGAAATGGGGTTTTTGCAGCATGAAAGTGATTCACATTGTCATGCCCTTCTTGATCTGCTCCAAAGCAAACGGACAGAAATTGTGGCTTTGAACTGTCTGTTTTTATACAGCACACTGAACTGAAGGATCCTCATGCTTGGAATGCTTTAATACCTCAGAGTAAAGCTCTGGTGAGCAGACAGCCTGAGCACAGCAGCATCCAGCATCATCAGAAAGGCTGTGCTAATTTTCTCACCTACAGTTAACAAAAAGGGATTACATCAGAGCCGAGACTGACAAAGGAACCTGATGCCTTACAGAAAAAGATAAAAATAAATATTACATGTTGTGCTCCAAGGACCAGGCTTCATTGGTATACATTATTTGAGGAGAGCAGCAAAAGGGTAGAAAGGGAGAACGCCTGAAATCTGCCACACCAGGTGATACAGTAGCACGCATCTCAATACTCTGATTAGATGAACAGAACGTGTTCAATCACGCAGCATGTTTTTTCTTGATGACCATAAAAGAGTGATGAAAGTGTAAATGCCAAACTCAGGACACATATAAAACAAAAAAAAGGGATGTCTTAAAGGTCTTAAATATGTTTAACTCTCCCTCCAGCTGGTGTTCATGAAATGTTAATGTGCACCAGCTGCCTTTCATTGAACTGTGGGGAAATGTTACTGTCATTGGTTGGATAATTCTACTTATGTTAAAGGTATCTATATATATTCAGAGATATTACTTTATTATTTGGGTCTTGGCGGTCAGTAAAGATCAGTTAAAAGACCATAGAAGCGTCAATCCTCCTTTGGCCAGAGGGAACAAGAATGAAAAACAGCACAGGGAACTAGAGGGGGGGGGGGGACTTTGGATCATCACCTTCAACTGTTGGCTGAGCAGAGAGGTCACCCAGGGTGGGCACGTCTGCTTGTCAGAACAATAATATCAGTCAAAACTGTGATCAGCAGGTGTTTGTTTGAGGGGGAGATAAGAGTGAGACGACTGCTGTGTGGTCTCTGTGTGAGGTTACATCTCGATAATATTGGATTATATATTGATCAAGTACAGACAGATTCTGGAAGTAACTGTTTGGGGATTCTGCATGAATATGTTTTTCAAAGATAACCTGCTAACTTTTTGGTTGTGAAAAGGTGGCTCATGGACATATTTTCAGCAGAAGCTCTTAATCAGCTTCAAGAGGTTGTTTGCAGGTGAGTCAGCCAACCTCCATGATTTGATGAGATGAGTTGCAGATCGTCAGCCTGTTCTTGCAGCATGCTTCATGCTTAGCTGTTTCATTACACTGAATTTAAAAGTATCTTGTAGTCAGAATTTGCACCATCCATCTGTAAGCTGAATAGTCATGGTGTGTGCTGTTTTCTCTGCTTTGACATTAAAGACATCAGGATTCTGACCAAGACGGAGCGATTTCAGATGTAACAGCTTGTAGAAACCAATGACACAGCACCAGATCATCTGAATTGTGCCTCATTAGGGTCTCTATAAAACTTTGTTTTTCTTCCAAAAGCTTTGGCATGTTGTCATCTGAAACAGCTGAACAGCAACTTTCCGTTCTGACACTTCAGCTCTCAGCGTTCACTCACCATCCCGAGCACTTTCACACATGCAGCTTCTCTCCACAATCACTATTTTGAAGAGTTTGTGGACATACAATGGCATACAACGTGAGTGAAATAATGGGATCAATTCTGCTTTCATTAACCAAGAGAAGGCATGGACTCTGTTTTGAAATCAAAGGGAATGAGAGAGACTGGTAGGCAGAGGGAAAAGGAGAAAGAGGACAGCATGGGGCGATTGAAGATTGCAGGAAGCGGAAGTAGGAAAGAGACATTGAAAGGAGGAAACGTAAAAGACTTATGGATTTGGAAAGAGAACTGGCCTCTTCATATTGAATAATCACTGATTGCCAGAGACTGAAGGGGGAGATTATTACATGGCACTGCAGAGATTACTCCCAATCTTCTCTCAGTCTGAGGCGACCCAAGCCTCATTACTTCCCCCATCTCTGCAGTCTCTCCCTCTACGCCTAACGTGTCCTAACTCCGCAATTTTTCCAGAATGAATTGACTTCTGAATTCTACGTCATATTCTGTGGGGTATGCAGGTTTTAGGTCCACTTCACTGCTCCTGTTATTTTTTCAAGTTACTGACATTAAGGTCCCCCCTCCCCCCCCCCCCCCTCACTGTGCACTGGGATGGCGCAAAACCTTCTCTTTCCTTTATTGGACTGACATGCTTCAACGGTTCAATTTTCTTGCCTCCTGGGACATCTAGCATCATTACGTCCACTACGTTTTTATTTTTTATCTCATCTATAATGCAAACATGCTGGCAAATTAAAAAAAAATTGTAGAGCCAGCAATCGGGCAGACATAAATGCCGGACAAAAAAAATGTACAGAAAGAAGTTTTAGCAAAGGGTTTGCAAGGTCTCTACAATCAGACTTCAGTTATATTAAGTCTTAATACCAGTTATAATGAAATAATAAGCCCCAGGCATTAACTGATGTAGGTCTCTGCTACTAAGAGGACTTCTCCTTGTTTTACATTTTCACAACTTGTACAGGTCAGTTATGGTAACGTGTAACTCAAAGTAAGTTATTTTAACTTTACTATAATATTACTATAATTAGAGATAGTTTAAGACTTTATGTTCAGTTAATCGTGAAGGTAATTGATGAGCTTTAGAGGACACTTTGACCTATTTCAAACAAACCCATGATGTCGAGACTTACACAATGATTTGATATTGGCATTCTTAGAAGGAATCATCATCAGCTAAAAAGTCAATTACAACACAACGACTGTGTCAAATAGAAAGGTGAGCTGGAGCATGGTGGGGATGTGCAGAGGCTCCCTGGAACAAGTAGAGGACTGAGTGGAGGTGAAGAGTGATGGTAATGGTTATGGCCAATTCATACTGGATTTTGAGTGTAATTACAGAGCGACTGTGCCACCACCTTTATATGTAATTATCTTTTAAAGTCAGGAACAAGGTCGAATAATTTGTCGTTGTAATAAGAGAGAAAAACTCTTCATCGTGCATGGGTCATTACTTCTCTTTACCCCAACTTCAGACAGAGAGCATGATATGAATGATCAGTCTATTTCATAACTAGTCATCTTCAGTTTTATGACTGTTACACCCCTATTCTGTTGAAGGTTTTTTTTTTTTTTTTAAAGCACATGGAAATTTGTGGCCATCGCTTCAAAACTGAAAAAATGTGACTCATACTGAAATAGTTGGAGAAAGTACCGTACAGTCCAGCGGTACAAATGCTACAAGATCAAGAGTGATTGGCCCCGACAGTCCTAATATGAGACAGTACCTGCTGCTGGCCCTGGATCTTCATGAAGTCGTCTCGTTTGCTGCTTTTGGTCTTATCTGTGCTGTTCTGCTGCAGGTGCTTCAGTTTGGAGGCAGCAGAGGAGAGTTGAACATCCCCACTTCCAGAACTGTTCCCTCCCTGAGGAGAGGAGAGGAGAAGGAGAAGGAGAAGGAGAAGGAGAGGAGAGGAGAAGGAGAGGAGAAGGAGTGGAAAGGGGAGGAGAGGAAAGGAGAGGAGAGAAGCAGAGAGAAGTGTTAATCAGACATTGGACAGACACTGTACATGTCGCACTTTTTATTCCTCTTCTACAGTGCATTCAGTTTACGCCTTAAACACACATACAACTAGACAGAGTTTGATTTCAGCAAGCAAGTCTGTCTCCTGAGACCAATGAGGATTTTTAAGATCAGAGCTTGTCGCTGATAAAACCCAACAATCCACTTCACAGAGTTTCAGCATCCATCAGCAGGAAGTGACAGAGACCAGAATATCGAAACGCAGCATCAAAACTGACGTTGCATAGCCTGATCCAAGCAGCAGTTTGTTTAATGATCTCTCCTGCTGAGTTACTCTGTCACCAATACACACACACAAACACACACAAAATGTAAAGTCCAATGTCTTCTAACTCTGCCTCTTGAGCAAACAGAGACATGAGCTGAAGAAATATTTTGAAGGTAAACTGTTGTAGAGCCAATTTTTTTTTTTTTCTTATCAGCCTATTCTTCTTCGGTGTTTGAAATGCAGAAAGAAAATAACCCGTATATTTGATGCTTGATGGATATATCCTTGTTCTGAGGTGCTAATTAACACTGAACTGTAATGGGAGATTGCTTGTAAGTGTGAATTAAGTGCGCTGATGAATGAGTGTTGGACACGATGTAGGTAGAGGGGTCATGTTGAAAAGATGATCGTGGTTGAAGTTGAAGTGATGAAATAATGCGTGAAGACTCTGTAATCCTGAGTCGTGCTCACGGGAATGCTCCCTGGTTCTACATCAGAGGGCTGAAACTCACCATGACAGTGGGACTGTCAAGAGATTGCAGCCCTGCCCTGAGTGGGCTTCTACATTCAGAGCAACAGGGAATTCTACCGAGCTGTGAAGACACCGTGCTGTAGCTGCAGCTGACCCAGGAACGCAGTAATGATTTTGATTAGCACTAATCTGCTGTTGAGCAAATGGTCAAATAAAGGTGAGTTTAAAGACGGGTACTTACAATGTCTGCTAATAGAGTTTTACATGTGGTCATTAGAAGAATAAGGAATGCTTTTTACATCTGGTATAAGAGGATTTCTGTTCTTATAGAGGCTGTTTAAAATGATTTTGGTGTTTTTCTTAATGCTATTTCTTTCCCTGGAAGTAATGACTAAAGTTATTTTTCTTCCCGTGTTCTAGAAAACTCAATACATTTGTAGTATCTTGGCTGTGTGAAATTAAAAAGGTGACACAGTACATAAAAGACGTTTGGAAGCTGGTTTAAATGCGGCACAGCAGCTGATGAACCTTTACAGATCATCAGTTTGTTTAAAACCGTTTCTAAAAGCAAGATAATTGATTTCAACACTGAGCAAAGATGAGAAGACAGATTTAGTTTGATAAAGCTGACAAATCATAGAAGAAGAAAAAAAAGAGGAGGAAATAAGGTAAATTAGCTCCACAGTGTTTTTTATTGCCTGTTTGTTGTTACAAACAGGGTAAACTAGCTCTGATTTACACACAGAGAAGCAGATGACAGAACAAATCAGTAAAGAAACAATTAACAACTGTGGGCTCAGCAGGAAAGCAGCCCGCGTACTAATCACAGAACAGACAGGAAGGGAGGAAGTCTGTTGTCTGTCCCTAATTATGTATTTCGATTTTCTGAAACAATCAGTGGACAATTTGGTTGGGGAGCAGACATCAGAAGCTCAAAAGCGAACCCAGAGGGAAGCAGTGAAGAAAGACAACAGAGCATGCTGTTTCAGAGAAGGAGTCTGCAACACAGGTGGAGGCATTGAACCTGGATTGATGCTGGGCTCAGGGAGGACGGCTTGCGTGGGACAGGTGGCCTCCTGGTCCCTGAGGTCACACCGTCTGTCATCTGTATATGGGTGCTTCGGGTGGTTGTCTCCGTGTAGAGTTGCTCTGGTGTCGGGTGGCCACCTATCTCAATCAAAGTGTTCTCCAGCTCACGAATAGTCTCCTCCAAGCTGTCCAGCCTCCTGTAGGTGCTGCTTTGGACATCTTCTCTTGTTTTCCTCTGGCTCTGGTTGGACGGAGTGTCCGCAGAGCTGTCTGATCGAGTGGTTTTAAGACTAGTGTTCAATGACTTTAGCTGGACTCCAGGAGTTCCCTTAGTTTCAGTGGTGTGCTGAATTGTAAGCACCCTTTCCCCAGTCTCTATCCCTCTCTTCAGAGCCTGCATCATGGAGCTCTGCTGGCTTGAGTGGAGGGAGGATTTTATTCTGGGTTTGGGCACCGGCTTAGATGACTCTAAAAGAGAATACAGCAGCCTGTAGGCCTCCCTGACGGTTTTTCCCTCTGTGAGAAGCACAAGGAGAGGCCGGACACTCAGCTGAACCTCAGAGACTTCTCTCGTCTGTGGGGAGATTGTCAGAGTCTGCAGAGTTTCACCTGTAGTCCTGCAGAGCTCCTGGACCTCTGAGGGAGACACCACCCTCACCTGCAGCTCGGTCAACAGCAGAGAAACTTCCCGTTTTAAGTCCTTATCCTCTTGAACACGACACTGCTCTCGCTCCGCTCGATGAGAGCTTACAAATGAATCCCTTTCTTTTGTTATTTGAGTCTGGTAGATGGTGTAAGGACCAGTTAGATCTTGTGATGGACTCTCGCGTACAAGGTCATTTGCTTCATCTCTGACAGGCTCCTCTGAGGCAGCGGGAGACGCAGGCAAACACTCTGTCAGCACGATGAAGGGGACAGGAGACAAGCGCCTTTCCTACAAATGTGGAGAGCACTTTAGAGTTTAATTTATACACTCTTAACCTTAGCTAACACACATCCAACAACTTGCTAGTTGGAAACCCAGCACAATAGGAAATGGTAAATATAAAAAATGAACTTGTCTGCATTTTTAGTTTAAGAACCAATATGTAAGCATGTCTGAGCATCTGATATGCTGCCTGTGCTGCGGCCTGTCCCACACAGCTCTCAAGTCTAGAACAGTTTAGTAAAGCAAACAGTACTTACAACACAATACTTACTAACTGGGCTCACACACAAATATCAACCTTAAACCAACTGCAGAAATCCCTCTTTCCTCTGACATTGATGGAATATTGTACCAAAGGATAGATTGTGGAAAAGAAACAGTTTGTGTTTAGTTAGACCTGCATTGATCAATATATTCTTCATTGTCACTTCAAGACCGATGAAGTATGGTGCTTAAAGTTAACGGCAGATAATAGCCGCTTACAGCTAGCTTTAAATACTATTGATTTTTTTCCAAGCTTCTTTGAGTAAATTGGTTTGGCATTCAAGTAAATACTTCATGTTTGACTCACAAAGCTATCGTCAACATAGGCAGACAAATTGCAATGTTCTTAGTCTGAAAAATTAAACAGTTAACATCTATTAAACTTAAGGCCGAGATCATTTTCTCACACGTTATGAAAGATCAAGCCTGAGAAAAGGGAAGGCAACTTGCGATCATATTGATCAGGGAGTCTGAAACATAACTGCAATTTATCATGGTTCTGTGTTCTGCTTTATGTGCAGTCGACAACTGTCGGCCGACTTGATTGCTTTTGCACCTTAATGAGCCAATGATATGATGGTTTGGATTGTTTCTGCTCCAAGTGGTCTAAATATTGAGATTAATTGGACAAAGCATGAACACATAAGGAAATGCCGAGCGAAAGTATCAGTTTTGAGAAGACTTGCATGACTGGAAGAAAGTGGAGGCTGAGCAGTAGCAGGTGTTTTCTGTTTGCGGTAGGTAGGTTAAGAGGAAAACGAGACAGAGGTTTAAGAGGGCAGCAATCCACAGCACTAAGGGTCAGCTGGACTGTTACCTCAGTGCCTGTGGCCTCAGAGGGCCAAAGGTCCAGCCTGTAGGGGGGCTGACTTCTCCTGCTATAAAGGCCAACTGGCAGGGAAAAGGGAGAGGGCAGGGGGAGCTTGAGCGGGGCTCTTTCAAACAGCTGGGGAATGAAAAAGGCGGTTCAAAAGCTTACATAAACATAGGACAAAAACCACAACAGCAACTGAATCATCAACTTCAGTCTCTGTTGACTCAGTATTCCAATTCCAGCATTTGAAATTTCAGGCACTCATTCTCAAACACAGTCCAGGCAGCCATAAAGGTCCATCTGTCTGGCTGTGATCAGTGAGCCCTGGGTGATGATGTGTGTGACTGAGCAGTATGTGATCTTTGAGCTCTCTTTGCGCCAGGGGCAGGGGGACATATGGCACCTGCTGCTTGAACATGTGGTAATGATGGTGAGCATGTGAGATATGTACACACAAAAACCAGTGGCAGATTGTGGGCCTTACAATCAATGATAAAACAAGAGCAGTTTCTTCCCCTCATTGAGCAACAGCCCATTGAGGATATAATCAACATAATTCACGACCCATCTCTTGCGTTACCTCCAATTCAGCAGCAATCTTATCCTCCTCACGATCCTCCTTGTCCCCAGAGGCGAGTGTGGGGGGTGTAGATGCAGGACGAGGGTTCTCAGAAACAGCCCTCCTCAATTTCACATGAGGCTTCTGGATTTCATTCTCTTCAGATTCAGACTTCTGCACAAACAAACAAAAAAAGACTTGAAATGTAAATTGCCGATTTCCTCCTTTTGAAAAGGGGCAAAGAAGGCAGAGAAGGAAGATTCTCGTGAGTGCATTTCAAAACTGTGCTCTTGTGATTTTTCCTCTGTCTCTTACTTTTATACTTTTGCCAGGAATGAGGGTCTCTCCACTGCGGCTGGTAACGCCTGGAGAGGAGGGGAAACTGCGTCTAGGTGGTGGAGGGGGAGGCGACTTGGAGGGTTTCTCTGTGCGATACCGTGGTACTGTCAGCTCGTCTGCAAAAGACATGTCATTCAAGGTTCTGACACATTTAACGTGATTTACTAACATGCTAAGAGGCATTTAAAGGCATTTTGTGTAAAATATGTGTAAGACTGAATGCTTTGCCAAGTGACATTTGCATAAGAAACTTACTTTTTTCTTAGACACATTATGTATCAGAAGTTAATTTATTTTTTCATAATGTGTTTAAATTTATAGAGCATGATGCGGACTAAACTGAACTCTCCATCTTACCAGAGCCACGCCTGTATAGTCCCTCTTTCCCAGAAAGCTTGTGCTGGGGCTTGCTGACGCGGTGCTCTGGGGTTCCTGCCCCAGACTGGGGGTTCTGGGAGGTTGGCGTGTTGGAGGAAGGCTTGATCTGCTTGGCAGCAAACTCTAAGTCTGGAATAGCTTTCATTAGCTCAGCCTGAGTCTCCTCCAGCAACCGGTTGATGTCTTGGGCACTGTACTGGGTCAGACTGGCACGCTTCTCTTCCCAGTCCCGCTCAGCTGCCTGTGAAGCACAGAGGGGGAATCTATCACTTTCTAAACAAACAGCCAATGTGGATCTGCAGCATTGTTGCAACTTTGTTTGATTCTTAATCCGAGCTATGAGAGAAGAAAAAAGGTAGAGAAATCCTTCTTACCAGTCGGACTTCCACGGATAAAGCTTTGTCAGCAGCAGCGCGGCGTTCCAGCTCCTCCAGGGCTTTGCCCTTGTGAGGAACAGGAGGATGATTGTCCTTGTGAGGGCCAGACGGGTTCCCATGGCCACGGCTGAGGCTTGAGTGGGGGCTCCAGTTGGACAGGCTGTTGCCTCCAAGGTCATTGATGGTGAGCGGAGAGCTGGTGGGGATGTCAAAGTCTGAAAACTTTCGCAAGTCATCGTTGTGCTTTGATGAAGGATTAGAAAAGTCCTCCTGCTTCTTCCACACCCCCTCGTTTGCTTGTCTGGTAAGACATGAAAGTTGAATTCATTATTTATGTCTGAAATGCAACACAAATTAAAATATGAATAAACCATGAATAGAAAACAAAATGTTGCTGGATACCAAAAAACAAAAAATACCGTTAAAATTATAGACAAACAAAATGCTGAAGGGCAGATTGCAATTCCATAGACACCATAAAATGAACAGATCCTAATTCAGGGCAGATTTCTGTGAGCTTCAACAATAAATATATAATTATCCACAGTCAAAGGGCCTGTCAGTCTCCATTATGTTCGGCTGACAATTAAAAAATAAGGTGTGAAAACATCATTTCTTTAGCAGAGGTACAAAAAGAAAGACCTTCCTTGAAATAACGAGGGATTTCAGTTTCAGCTAATGATGGATATGAAAGTGCCACAGTCAGATAAATGCTTTCCCATCAGAATCTCTGCAAGAAAATTTCATTTGAACTTTATTTACACTCAGCTCCTTTGTATGTCTTTCTTTTACTTCAATCTTAAACTAAAAGATGCTGATGTACGGTGAGTGCTCGTCTGAGGCATGTTCATACTTGCGCATGGTGGCCAGGGTGTCCGTTATAGTCTTGCATCGTTTCAAAAGGGCATCGAGCCTGTGTGGCTCTTCTTTCAGGAATTTGACGGCCTCCACCTCCACTCTGAGCACCACCCGCATCTTACTCTGCAGGCCTGGGAACTGATCTGTAAGGGACAGAAGAGGAGGGGGCAAACATGTTCCCTCACTCTGATCAGTCCTACTTGTCAAAGATGTTAAAAGCCTTTTGTGTTAAACATTAAAGAAAACATTTTCGAACAGTGTTAATGGTCACGGAATTCATTAAGACAATGAGCAATCTGAGCAATCTCACAGCGGTTAAACGTTTGACGGACTTGCTGTGGATGACTAAAGATAATCATCGCCTTAGTGAGTAATTAGTGCATTATAAACTGTCTGCCACAGTAGAAGGCTGTGTTTTTCTGTGTTGTGCCTTTGCACAGAATGTGCCAGCATGACTCACTTTTCAGCTCTGTGAGTGTTTCTCCCAGCTTTCTGAGAAGAGCCGACTTCTCCTCCAGCTCTTGCACCGTCACCAGCTTGTGGTTGACAGACGACTCCTTCTGGATCTCCTCCACCGACTTCTCCAGGTCGCTGAGAAGGAACAGACAGAAGGCTGAACACCGGTGATTCCTCTGATATACCTAATTTAAAAAATATATATATTTATTTCAGAGCTATGCCATTTGAGCTTCAGGAACATTCCTGCCAATAAAGTGTCTCTCAATCAACAGCTAGATCACTGTGAACTGCTCTGGACAGCTGAACCGGAGGAGTATGGACAAGTATTGAAAAGTTTCATTTAACAACTGAAGGGCGAAGTGGAGAAGTATAACCACATATTATAGTTTGTCCATTTTTAATGAATCAGTTTCATAACATTTCATTAAAATCTGCCTGAAGTCATGTAATGAAGGAAAGTTACATGTATAATTAAACAAAATAAATGGGCAATTGGCCAGGCTGAATAATAGACATTGATTAGCTGATATCATCTAACGGTTCAACCAATTAGGGCCCCAATCAAAGTGTCGCTTAGAGGGATTCAGGAGCTCTCGTGAAACTCACAGAGAAATCCAGGGATCATTACAGCGATGAACATTTCCATACTTCTGACGGGGAGCAAGTTATCAGATTATTAAATCACAAGGTAGCTCTCTGTTCTTGGTTTGGAAGTCACTTCAATTAGACGCAGCGCCATCTCGCTTCTGCCATCTTAATAAGCATCTTGCTCGATGCCAGGGCTTAATTACAGTTACATTTTCACCCTTCACTGCGTCAACCTGTGAGTCATCTCATTAAAAAGAGATATACACATTTTTGACATGTTTCAGGCATTTATGAAATTTGGGATTAAACATGACATGTCAACATATATTCAACACAATGACCAATTAGCCTCCAACATTATAGCGTTGAATGATACCAATACATATGATTTTGTTGCAGATTCATTTTTGTGAATCTAAAGAGGTAAATCTTCAACTTGGGTTGAGGTTTGGGGATTTCATTAACCAACACCGTTCTAAAATCAGTGTTTTGGTCTTGCACTGACTGGAGCTGCTGGATGATGAGCTCCTCCTCGTTCAGATACTTGAGTCTCTCCTCCTCCACCAGGAGGCGCTGTCTCTGCAGAGGATCCTCCTGCTTCCTCAGGGCGTCAGCCACGCGCACGTTCAGCTCTGCCTCTGTCCGTTTCAGCAGAGTTCGAACTGAATCCTGGTTCTCCAGCTGCAAGCACACATTCACACACAGAGCTTAGGTGTTGAAAACTGCGAGAAGTCGGCATTGCAGCATAATAACAGGACAAGGAGGACAAGAATTCAACGCTTGAGGCTTTTTAAAATAGATATTAGGGGTCTGCAGCAACTGGACTTTGTGTTCTGTGTGGCCTTTATAACTTCTTTGCCATGTTATGACACTATAACATGTTTCTCTTATTAGTTTTTTTTAGCCTGCTATAAGCAGCAAGCAGCTTCCTCAATGATGTGTGAGTGTGTGTATCAGCTATGCATATAACATTTCCCTTAACACAGAAAGCTGGGAAGCCCCGAGGAAAACGAAGGATGTCCATGACAGAGGCACTGAGCGTGAACTCAGCTCCCTCTCATTGTTATGAATGGAATATTCAACAGGAGTGCTGCATGTAATACAACTCCCTGAGATGAAAGCACCTGGTAAGCAAGAAACATTAATTATTGATAAGCCTTATGTTCCAGGAAGTGTAACAAGACAACTATATTCCTAATCCTAACATTCTAAAATGATCTCGAAAGTCCCATTACGCTTCCAGTAATGACAAAAGGGTTATTAAAAACACCTTCTTTTTTTTTTAAGAAAAGATACATTTATGTGGAAAATACATTCTTATGTATTTGTCTCTCAGCCCTGTGTTACCTCTCTCACTGCTGTCTCTCCTGTACGCTACGCTCTGTATAATTCATGAGCCGCATGTAAAATTTAAGCTGCCAGCCATCGCCCTGGGTAACAATACGGGTACGGGTCCCAGAGGTCACACTTGGGCAAACTTACAGGTAAATAGCAAATTGTCCTCAGAGCCCTTACAGCACAGCCTCTTGTTTGGAGGTCTGTCTCACTGTTTAGCTAGTTCAAGGAGCCCCTGTCAATGCTGTCAAGGAACAAACACAAGCACTGCATGCCTATCATCTGTCACTCCAATTACTCCTTCTTTCTCTTTTCCCCTGTGAGAGACTTGAATCGTCTTCTCTGCAGCTGAAAGCCCGTGTCTCATCGTTGCTTTCTGACGCCTCCTACAGTAACCATGGCATCATCTGCATGAGAGATAAATGAAATAAATCAGGAGCAACATTTCTGTTAGCCCCCCTTCCTTGTGGCATATCTTTGAATTCTGCATCCAAAAAGACATTTAGTATCTCTGTAAAATACCTTACAATGTGTACAGAGCTTTCATCTTTACTACTCCTGTTTTATTATTAATCCCCAAAAGATACGAAGCCCTCAATGTGTCATGCGGGACAGTTCTGTGAACCTGCATGTGTTTTATATGGTACTGGAGTGAAGATCAAATAAACATCAAAGCAACACATCCTGCATACATTTGTTGAATAGTAGACAGTATAAATTCCACATCATAGCGATGCACTATAACTGCTGCATGTCAAAAAAGGAAATACTTCCAATAATTGGGGCTAATCAAGACATTTTCTACACATTAAAGGCAATCTCTAGAACTCCGCAGCTGGAGCGAACCAGATGTGCACTGCATAAATAGGTCTTAGATTCTGTGTGACTTGCATGTTAACAGAGAAACAGGAGACTAATCGAGATGATGCCATTGGTTTTACTGAAAATGGTTGGATTTCTTATCAACTTATAGGCACAAAATGGTCCCAGTTACTCTGTATAATCCAGTGTCAACACTGTTAACTGTTTCTATTGTACTAGGAATTGTATAAAGAAGATAACAACTCACAGTAAGGGCGGCCCATAAGGGGGGGGGGGGATAAAGGGGAAAGCTTTCTGCTGACCCATGGAAAAACATGGTTCATTCTAATTTTAAACACAATGAGCAACTTTATTTTAAACCTTAATACTCACCATTTACTTATAAAGCAACAAAAACACACGTTTTATTAATTGTTCCTTCACTAAAATGTAGCCTGTTTCAAAATGTAAAGCACCTCTTCTGGAAACAATAGGATCCTTTTTTTTTTGTAATGTATAGCCATCCAGAAACTGCACAAAGTTAGGATTCCAGAAAAGAAGAAGAAGAAGAAGAAAAAGGAGGGAACTGGCAAGGGCATTTTACCCCAACAAGAACATGTTAACAATCTTATTTCAGTCAGCTCCAAAAGCTTGGGAGCAAGGGAGAGGGAGCTAATGTAGGCAAGGAGGCTAGCGCTAAAACCACTGTTCGAATATGCATACGCTGATTTAAATCATATCCTTGGAGTGCCCATTTACTTGACCTTTCAGGGGCCCGGTCATTTCTGTGGGCAGGTTTGCTCCCAGTTAATTTCCATTACTTACAGAAACGTAGCTTTTTATTTTTAGAGATGTAAAATGTTTTAGACGTTTTTTTTATTAGTTTCCCAAAACTAGTTAGTTTTTCTAAAAGTTGATGCAGATGGCAGTCTGTGTTGTGCCTTTATTAACCTGACTCATTAGTCTGCACACTGTGACGCTCATGCACTCTTCCTCATATACAATAAAAGCACTGAAACAAGATAGGGGATGTATTATATGTTATATATCAGCCCTAATGAGTTTGAAATAGTTTGAGAGGACATATTCTTCAAAAAATATATTCTTTTTTTATTTTTATCTTTTTTTATTTTATTTTTTTACAATGGATGAACTCCATACCTGTGTCTTCCTTAGCTGCGTGAGCTGTTTGCGCAGATCAGTGGCGTTTTGCTGCAGGCCTTGCAGGTGGAGTTGCATCTGAAAGCGGCTGACGCTGTTAGTAGGTGGCGGTGGCATCAGTGCTAGCGGAGCTGATGGTGTATGAGCTGCCAATCACAGAGCGGGACATGGGGGGTCAAAAGCAGGTCATTGGGAAACAAATTGGTTAGTTCGCTGGGCTGTGCTCTGGTGGGAATTGCAGTCAGCCAGCATGAAACGCAGTACAAACAGTTTACACGCACATAGCAGTAAGGACCAAAGAAAAGTACATAAGAGAAAATCCGGTGCATTTACACATACACACACTGCAACAAATACAGTGTGTGAATGCAAAACCTACCATAGTCACAAAACTCTTCAAGCCCACCAGGAGAAATGTGAGCTCATGCTATTAGTAACCGATACAGAAGTGCAATTAGTCTATTAAGAAGTGACACACAGGGGGATAACCATGCTCTTATCTTCAAACAGAGCTTTGTGAGTATGGCTAATACGGCTAGCTCTTCCCACACACATATGCCTCCTGAACACACACCCCTACACTCATACACATTTAAAGGAAAGCATTGTGTGTGACAGAACAACCCCTCTGGAATTCCCAAAGGAAAAAAACAAGCAGAAATTCAAAAGGTAGAAACAGAGACAGGAGGGGGGGGGGGCGTCCGCTCTCTGGGAAACCAGCCAGGAATAAAAAACGTGACGAAAGACACCGCCAGCTACCCAGCAACACCACACACCCATACAGAGAGCAGAGAGCTATGAGAGATGTCTGAGAAATAAAAAAGGATGATAGAGTAGGAGATGGCAACTACCTTTCTTCTTCAGCCGTCCAGCTGGAATATAGAGAGAGTGAGCCAGTTACCGAGGAATTAATGAGATGGTGAGAGAGACAACTGGCGAGAGAAGTCTTAAAAGTTTATGTTCAGAAATGATGACCCTGGAAAGCATTTTTATCCACTACAGCAGAGAGAATGACTGAGGTGATGGCCTTTTCTCTTGGCAAAGTATACATTAGTGATAAAGGGTAGGTGTCCTTGCACTTCCCTGTGAAGGTCTGGCTATTAAAAAGCATCATGTGTACCAAAATGGTGCTAAAAAAAAAAAAAATATGGACTGAGGAGGGAAAAAAAGGATCAGCAGTGATGAGAGAAATTCCAGGAAGATAAAAGGTTTTATTAAGAATAACTGCAGTGTAAATCAAATGTTCTTTCAGTATTTCAGGAGCTCTTCGCTGAAAAATAAGTAAGTTAAAGTATAAGTCAGATGTTTCAAGAAAGACACTTTAACATCAATCTTTGTGCATCTTGTTAGGAGTTAGTCAAAAGCAGAAATATAAGCCTTCCAAACACTTCAAAGCTGTCTGTCTTATTACCTCGCCAAGAGGGTAATGTTAACAGTCATTTATATTTGGAGCTGTTGAAAGGTGTTAAAGAAACAAACTGTTCGAGGGTACAGTTATTTTTATTTTTGATAGAGCTTGGGCAGCGTGTCTTGTTGCTTGCAGGAGTTGTGCGTCGTGAATCTTAAAATGCCTCCTCCGTACCTCTCGACAGACTCTTGACTGAGTAGGACAATACTCAGGGGTCTTTTTCAGACATTGAATTGTACTGTGTTGTTTTAATGTCTGCAAATGGCTTCTAATTTAATTATATGAAAAAGTGGATCCAATTAGCCTCTTTTTTTTTTTTTTTATAGCTCTGAAACGGTAAATGAGTTATTCTGAATTAAACTCTTTTACTTCAGCTGGCAGAAAAAAGACACAAACAGTGACAGTGAAACAGAAACGAGAAGGAGAGATGAAAGACGCACATGTGTCCACTGAGTTTCTTCACTCCGACTGTTTTGGTTACAACAAACTTTGTCGCCTTTGCCTATTTGATTCCGATTGTTTGGGCTGGTGTGAGAACTGAAAACTTTGTCTTTGTCCGCTTGAAAGCACATACTGGTAATCAAACACAGACCTACCCCAGTAATGCTTTACACCATTCATGTGATTTCACCATTAATGTACTTTAAAAGATGAACTTTCATTGGATCCAGCTGCTGATTTTGAATTCATTAGGAGTTCTATAAATAAAAGAATCTGCGATAATTAATTCAGGGCACATGTTCATCCAAATCTCTCGGTATTGGTAACCATGGTAACCTAATTGTGCATCAGTAGGTATCCCAATCAACCAGACAAATGAAAAAGGCTGCAAAAGCTGCAGTCTATTGTTCTGGTCTCAAACTGTATGTATGCTGGTAGTTCTTTGAATTCATAACATGTGAGTGAAACAGAGATCCGGCAGAATCCGGATCACAAATATCTTCTTTTAAATCCTCCATTTGTTATTTTGTATTGAATGGTGGATTTGTATTCTAATAACGCGCATGGTCTAATTATGTCTTTATTAGCGTCTTGTGTCACATAAAAAGCATTAAGGTGCGGTGTGACTTGCTGTCAGTCACCTCAGGGGCGCTAATGATGTGTTCATGGTGCAGGATTTCAGCAACAACAACTTAAATCGCTGACTCGGAATCTCTTCACTAAATCTTCAGTTTTACTAAATACACCATAAACCATAATCATTGGTTGTTGGAGATCATTTTTCTCTTAATTGGTATCAGGAAAAAGGTTGACAAAAAATGTTAAACTGTAGGAATTTAGGAATGTAGGCAGGACAGCAGAGTTAGCAAAATAAAGGCAAGTGATTAACAGTCCATTATACTACTATACTCACGTCCAGTGGCCGAGCCGTCGCTGTTGGTTTCGGTCTTCTCGCTGGAAGAGAAAGGTAATGGCCGTGAGAACTCCGTCCCTTGGTCCGGTGGGCAGCCGGCCATCATGCAGAGACGCAGCAGGCCGCATCTGAGGATCAACGGCCACAGGGCAAGGACATTACAGTGCTAACGCTAAAAGAACTACTTCTGGACACTATCAGGCTGATTCTATTAACAAGTGCTCTTCTTGTTAATGAGGCCCTATTGGTGCAGATAACAATGTTCCATCTAAATGAGGGAATCTACTGCAAAGCTATCTTGCACATCTATATGTATCAGTGCATAAATCAATAGCACTGTTCCCAGCAGCGTGTTTAGTGGACTATACCTTTGCTGTGCTCACACATAATAGTGAACCGCTTCACTGCTATGGTGCTGATAATGGCCCTGATAATAGCCTGCTCCTGTTCCTGTCGATAATGCTGCGGATGTGTCTGAGCTGTAGCAGTATCTGGGGGTTTTAGAGGGTTAATGGGGTATAATGGAGAGTCTTACGTGCTGTCACTGTCTGGTGCCCTGGTCAGCACACTCTGGACGAGACCAGTAAGGCTGGCTATCTGCTTCTCCATTGCCTCCATACGCTCCAGACGTTGATCCCTGCAGAGGTAAAGGACACAGGGAAGCAGTCAATTTGAAGAATAAAAAATAGCAATAAAAAAATGTTCAACACAGCCCTGTAGAGTTATCAAAAGAGGGTTAACAGTACCTGTAAACTTGCGAATACTTTATATCAAGTTATAATCAAAGCAAAATACATCCCAAAAACGGTGAACTTAAAGACATAATATTCTGTTGATTATTGTTATTACTAATTTGTGGGAGTGGTTCAATAATTTGTTTTATAGGTGTGCAAAACAACAACCAATCTGATTTAGTCTCCTAAAATGTTTCATGTGAAATGACGAGACTTTTTAAAAGTGGTTTAAAATATTGTGTTCATGGAGAACTCACCCACTGCACCCTAAGCTGAATGTAAAAATGAGGGTTGTCGGGACCGGTTTTAAGCAGTACAACACAGACCAATTATACTCACCTGCTGCTGTCAGAGTCTTGTCCAGACATCGAGGAGCCAAAGCCAGGCGTAGCCCTTCCACCCTCCCCAGGTCCGGCTGTAAGACATAGAGGTTCGGAACCAGAGCTGGGCCTTGACTTTGGGCTCTCCACAAACACGGAGGAGGAGGCGGAGTCCTTGCGGAAGGACTGCCTGACAGGTGAAGCTCTGCTAGGTGAGCTGGAGTATGAGTCCCTGTCCCTCAGCTGCATGTCAGGGATTTTCTGCGGGGATGAGGGAGGCATGCGGAAACCCATGCCCAGTGTGGCTGAGGAGTACGTGTCGGAGTAAAGCGAGCCTCCAGGTTTGTAGAGGGAGTCCTCCAGGTCCCCTTGAAGAGCTGCAGCCGAGTAGGTGCTCAGTGAGCGCACAGAGCCACGGCGGTACAGGCCGCTGGAAACAGGGAAGCTAAAAGGGTCTCCAAGTGCGGCTAGCGACTGGGTAGAGGCGATGCTGAGGCGGCCCTCGTGCATCAGGCTGTAGGGATCAGCATACAGTCCCTCGTTCTTCATCAGGGCCATGTTTTTTGCAGAAACTTCTTCATCAGGCTTGACATCGCGGCGCTCTAGGATGGCGCTGGGTGAGGGAGACAGGCCAACGTTGGCACTATGTCCAGCTGAGGGATGATGGGGATGTCGCTGCTGTTCATGCTGAGAGTGAGACCCGGCCAAGGATGGAGGACGGCCCCCGCTGTAGGAGAGACGTGAGCGGGACGGGGAGCCAGAGGATGCTGAGCCTGACGAGGACGGGAGAGTGTTGAGGCGGCGAGTAGGGGAGGAGTCACGGGAGGAGTACACCATATCCCTCTGGAAACAAAAAAGCAGGGATGGTGGTAACCATGGAGATCTACAGATGAAAGCACTGTGTTTCCTATATGTCAGTTTGACGTGAAGACAAATGAGGTGTGACTGACAGCAGACAGGCTGTCAGAGTCCACTGACGCCAAAAAAAGAGGAAGTTCTCAGAGGCCAATTACTCGTGCCGTTGCAGATTTGGCTTCAGAAAATTTCCTTGAATGTTTCTTATTTTTCATTCAGTCCGCTTCAGAAGAAATCATCCACTGTGTCTAGCAGAATTGGAAAGATTTCAAGAGATAACACCCCTAGTTCCAACACAGTTATCGTGTTTATCGTTTCTGTTTTTTACATTTACTTTTAGGTCAAACACTACATTACAAGTTTATTCTTTTTTCATTAAGTGGTGACAGGATGCAGCACAACTGAATAGCTGTCAAACATTTTTAAGTCAGCTTTCGTTTTCATCGACTTGCATTTCATGGCAGACCATGATTACATTGTTAGAAGTGCAATGATGCTTTTAAAAAAAAAAATCCATATCTGCCTTGGTTTTCAACTCTTTGTTTCTAAAATCATCCTTGTCTTTTTATTTTCAGTTGCTTCTGAGCGTCTGAGCTAACCTGGTCATGTTACATGAAACACATACTAAAACATGACAAAGGAATTTGTGCGGCTGAGCATTTAATGCCCATGGACAAATGTACATACATGAAGTATACTGACACAATATGTTCTTTGTGAACACGGCTTGAACAAGACAAAGGAGCTGAAACGACTACTGAAGACATCACAAAGACATGCACAGGAGCCAGTTCTGAGACACTTTTTAAAATGCAGACAGTGTCTCCAACAGATCAAATGAAGGGGTGGACTTAAAAGATGATCGGTTACTTGGATTATTCTTTTCTTTATCCAATAACATGTTACTGAAATGCTTTTCAGATTTTCTTTTACCGAGCTGACTTTGAGTACTAAAATGGATATCTGCTCTGCAGTTCAGCAAGGTGGTAAGCGCTTTCCGGTTGGCCTTCACTGCTTTGTACAAGCAGGCACAAACAAGCCACTGAGCATGACTAACAAATAATACATGCAGCAGAGTACATGCACACACAATATGCACAGCAATAATTGCTGTTTTCCGCCGCCTGTTTGTATGGTTAATAGCAGTCGACTTCTCTGTATTGTGTGAATAATGCAGATGGTAAGCGGGGTTTTGTGTAAAATAATTAAACAAAAAATGTCTCCCTCAGGCATCCTTGATCATCACTGAAGCAGAAATAGCTTCGGATGTTAAAATATGCTCGTTTCACAGAGGAACATTCTTCTCTGGTGTCTGCTCGGCAACAGATGGCCTACTTGAAGATAAGAAAACGACTTTTCCAGGAGGAATACCTGCTAAATTGCTAACCCATATATTGGAACATCCTGTCAAAGTTACAATCAAATATAAAAAACACTATTAACTTTCTAAAGAAGCATGCTAATCTTCTTTAGGTAGACGCACATAGTTGTTGCTGTTCTCAGCGACAGCTCAGTTGTCAAACATCTGATCCAGAAAGAGATATCAGACTTGATTCTTTCTCTTAAATAACAACAGTTCACCCTTTTCATCCCCAATCCCCCCCGCTCCCTTCTCCTCACCCTCAGGTCTCCATTAGCCAGGTGTGGAGCAGCAGGGTAGGAAGCGTAGATCGGCTCTTTGCGGTATATCTTGATGATGCTTCGGTCCTGGATGTCCCGGACGTCCTCGAGCTCGTAGAAAACGTTGCGCGCCTCATCTTTGATTAAAATGGCCGTGTTGGGCGACTTCAGCATACCTGCTGTTAGCTTCTGAGGGAACATGTGCACGATGAGAGCGTGCAGCGTGTCCAGGCTGCTCAGCTCGTGGGTGATGTGCACTCGACGTGTCTCATCTCCATACTGGAGGAACAGCACACCTGGAGAATAACAAGGGAGAGTCAATCAGAGGGGGGGGATGACTTTTTGAGGATAGAAAGAATGGCTAGAAAATCCTGTAGCATTGTTTGAAAACTATTGTGTTGTAAATCATGACCAAGAGGATCTGCCAAACCACTAATTTCTCTCTTGATGTGAGACTAAGACTGTGGTAGCTTTGTGAGAATTCATAATTAGGCTCCAATAGTGCATGTTTAAGGCCGGTTGATATTTTTCTTCCAATACTGGAGTGTGATTAAAATGTCACCTCTTATCAATTAATAGGCCATGAACATTAACAAAGATTCAAAAAAATGGCCCCTTTCATGGGAAACTTTGTGCTATTGTATAGGTAAAAGTGAGTCTGATGCCTGACTAACCTGAAAATTCATCTTCATACACGGCGAGACAAACAAAAACAACAAAGAAAGCAAAGGAAAGCCAGTGATTAAAAATCAAGCAAAGTGAGTGAGATATTACGGACGAGTGTGGGAGAGAAGAAAACAAAGAGAGTGGTTAGTGAAGGAGAGAGACTGGAGCTTCGCTGTTTTTATTCTGCCTGAACTCATCAGTCAATGCCACTTTAGTTTTGCAGCCACTGTCTTATCTCACTGTAGGTGATGTAACACCACACCTTGGTCTTTATGAGTCTGTGCCAGCCTCACACTAATCCTCTCTGCACTCCTGAGGCCCCTTTGTAGTAAACTTGCCCTCGACTCTGTTGTTTACTCTGAGAAGTACTCAGACACAATCCCTCCTGTATGATTAGGATTAGTAAACATACTTAAATACCTGGATTAATAAAGCATAGCAATAACTTGCACATTTAAACTCAACATAAAACTCTAGCTGAAGTAGATACTGTATATTTGTATCCACAATTTTCATGGATGTGTCATGAATATATTATGTCCAGACTCATTATAATTTTTCCAAGCATTTAAGAAAGAGTTTTCAGCAGAGAACTCTACTTTAGAGTTTTTATAGCAGTGAAACTTGAGGAATCTGAAACTGTTACGATTAATGAGTTGAGAGTGTTACTCTTCCTCCTGTACTCTGTAAGCACATCCATCTATTTAAGAAGCTACACGAGGCGAACTGACAACTGCAAATCTGCCTTTATTCCAACCAGCATGTTGTGACAGCACCTTCCAGCAGAGCATCAAATCCGTACCTGGAGATCGTAGCTTATTCTGGCTGGCGGAGCGGGACAGTGGCAGGCTCTGGCGAAATCGGTTCATCCGGTTGAATCCAATGGGGATGTCGGCTTCCGACATGGTCTCCAGGGATTCAGCGGAGGCGAAGGAGAGCTTGGCGGCCTGGTCCGCAAGCCCAGACTGGGTAGACTGGGAATGCCGTGGACTGCGGCTCTGCAGGAAGGGAGGAAACACAATCATCGACTGAAAGGGGAAATCAAGGCGTAGAGAATGGATTGGACGGGGGACGATGGAATGAGACCAACCAGAAAAGACAGTGAGCACACAATGAGACATTACACAATGAACCACATAACAAGATTAAAAAGGCCTTGACAATGGTTTAGTCACCAGCCATTCACTAGGATTTACTAGTGTCACAGTATCTGACTTCAGTTGAATGCTGCAGCAGAAAAACACAATAAAAGTTGTTCCCGAATCACACAGGACTCCAGGGAGCCAGCTTTCATGAATCACCTTTGGTGGTAAGAAGCCAAATTAAGCTTCAAATTGTGCCCCAGCTTAGCATAAGTTATGTCATGTTTGCTCAGCTCTGCACACCTCCCACAAACCCTCATCCAAACACTTGTCCCTGTGCTGCCACAAACTTTAAACAAGTGCTTGTGGGATGGGAGGAGAAGCTCATGCAAATCTTAGGCTGTCACTGTGGGTTTATCCTGCCGGCCTATGCCCGGGCGCCTCTCGCTGAGAGACAGTTAGTGCAGCAGGGGCTGAGCTCACTGAACTGGCTCCCTGATCCCCCTCGCAGCTGTAGCTTCCCTTACAGCTCGGAGGCTGCTGTAATGAGCTCCCAGAATGCTGTCTGCAGGTCGTTTGGATGACAGAGGCAGACACACCCTTTTAGTCATAGCAAAGTAGCTGTGCATGTCTCCTCCTTCTCGCACCATGAACACCGGCGGTTCTTCAAAGGATTTTTTTTTTCTCTGCCTTCTGCCTGAGTCAAACTGCAGCACGGAGTTACAGTGGGTTTCATTTACGTAATGAGTACGGGACAGGCCATAAACGGAGCCTGATTCTTGTCACTCATGGAATGGGTAATCAATAAAATAAAATAATTGATGTAAGAGTCTGATAGAAGAAACACAGAGGCCAATCCCTGTCCTTTGCATCTCCCTGCATGAATATAAAGGAACATAATCATTCACTCGTGTATAATTTTATTAATTGTAGAATAAGAAAGGAACCTGTTCTGCACAATGAGCTAGAGCTTCATCTACAGATTGCGTTCATTCAGATTTGTTTCAGTAAATTACTCAGCCTGTTCATCATAAATTAAAAATAGGAAGAACGACGCCATCAGAAGTTCTCGGAAGTAAAGTTCTTATTTTGCAATGACGTATCTCAGAAAGAAGTGGCAAACTGTCAAACTAGACTGAAACTGAAACTATTTAATGTTTTATATTTAAAGACGCAGCATTTCAATAAGGACTCAAATATCTATGCTTTTGGAATAAAATGTTTTTCAGACATTTCATTGTAAAACTTGTTCAATACTCTGGTGAATAAATATCTGAAAAAAAAAAGGGGATTAACTCATTCCCATCAGCCTTCACTTCATTAAGGCACACGCTGTTTGATTGCTAATCAACAACAGTAAACAGGGAAAGACATTATACCTTGTTAACATGAGCAGGTTTTCAATGTTTTCTGAAGCTAAAATTAAGAGCACTGCTGGAGCCTCTAGTGCTTCATTAATTGGTTAAGCAATTAATTATGTAACTCATTTTTAATTAAGTTAAATCAGTCTCAAAGATTAATTTTCTGTCAATCAATTATTCAACTAATTTTGCTACCTCTAAATGAACGAAACTAAATTGGCTGTAGCAACATTTAACTACAAGTGTCATTGGTCAATCACTCTTTAAAGGACCTGCTGTGACCTGCTTTGCTATCTGATATGTTTACAGGGGACGGTTACAAACATCAGGACTAAGAGGCGGAACAATCCTTTTTCATCATGTACGCTTGATTTGTCACTATCATAAATAATTCAATCACACACACACAACCACACAACCACACACACAGAATGATTGTGCTGGTGTCCAGTGATAGTGGCAGGAGATGTTGTGAGCACACAGAGGGACAGTGATGCTGACAGATAACTCCCAGCGTGTCTTCTAATAGGGTCATTTATCTAAACTGGGACCACTCTGAAGAAAAACACAGCAGCAGCAGCAGCAGCAGCAGCAGCCCCGAAAGAGCAGCACATACTGCAGGGAGTCATTTCTGGTCGGCTACAGTGGTATATCAAAAAATGTTAACATTAATATTTAACAGTGCAAACTATAATAATGATCGCGGTTTGATGGCATTTCATCTTGTCTAAATCTAGTTCAAGAATTAAATCTTTTTGAAGGTTTCTCTCGGTTTTGTATTTCTCTGAGGAAGCAAACATTTTTGAATTAACTTCATATGGGGAAAAAAATGAAATATGTTTGTATTTTTCCTTCAGCTAGGCTCAGGAAGACAAGGTTTCTTGCCACTTTTAAGTCAGTTCTTTAAAGTTGTATTTCCCCTTAGGAAGCTGGTTAGCTTAGCTTAGCACAGAAAATAGAAACAGTTGCAGACAGCTAGCCTGGATCCATATAAATCCCCCAAATCACCTTACCCACTGTAAAACTACTTATTGTCAATAATAGGCTCTGGGCCCTTTTTATACATATAAACAGGATTTGAGCTTTTGAGGTATAATGCATTTGTTTAATTTGGTTCGTTGTTTCACCTGTTTAAAGTGGTGCAAAATTAAATTTATAGACTGTCTACATATCTTCATGTTTACTGTAGAGATGAGAATAGCATTATTCCCATCCAACAGCTAAAGTAGCAGGAATGTATCAACTGCTCAAAACTAATTAAAAAAAGTATTTAACTGACTTGGAACTGGATCTGGAGAATAGAAAACCCAGACTCATATCTTAAATTAAAAAAGCAGTGACACGTCTGAATGTCTAAAAAGACTAACATGTCACAAATATTTCAATGTGTTTTTTAGCTGTTAAAAAAATGACTCGTGCTCTATTCTCAACAACTTCTATGAATCTGCTGCTGAACACAACAATAAAAGCCTGATGTATAAATCAGAGTAAACTGTCCCCAGCTGTCAGCATATATATGCTTTGTCATCTTGCCTTGTTACAACTGACTCCAAACACTGACTTCCATATTGAGGGTTTATGTGAAAGGAAAACTGAAAATATTCCTGTGCAGTCATTTTGCAGTGTAAATAGTATATGTGAATACACCATCTGGTCATGCATCTGGTCCTGCAAGTCATGCCAGTGTTATACATGATCGTGTTCACAGCCTCAAATGAGGGAAGCCGACTCTACCTCCTTCTAATTTCCTTCCTACAGTCCTCCCTGTTCACCTCCTCCCTACCCTCCCTCTCCATTTAAACCTTTTTCTTTCAGAGTGATCCAGACTTTTTCAACAGCACTCAATTACTGTTGAGAACTCCACACTGTTACACGGACAAGAGAGAGAGAGAACAAGTAGGGAACAGGATGATCTTACAAGGAACAGAAGCGAGTACACTGAAATGCTGGATAGAGCAGCCTGACAACAGACCCGAGGCTACAAGCTGCATTAAACTCGATTTCAACCTCCTAGTACCATTTCTTTTATTGTCCCATGTGCTGGTACACACAAACACTCATACAGTACACACACACACACACACACACACACACACACACACACACACACACACACACACACACACACACACACACACACACACACACACACACACACACACACACACACACACACACACACACACACACACACACAAACACACAAACACACTTGGATGCTCTATTATTTATGCTTTAAGGTCAAGTAGCAGTATTTTGGTTATTATTTTTTTCATGTTTTGGGAAGCATTTTACACTCAATTTGACACTTCAGTGTTGTCTTACTTTATCTGTAATCCTCTTTAAGCCCCAAACAATGTGCAACAGAGCATTCCTCAGTATTCCTGTCAATATAAATGCAAACTCAGAAAATATTTGCAGTTCACACACTGAATCCTTTGGGGAAAGCTGCTAGGAATACCAGGACACTTAGTTGTAAACATACAGTTCATACTGCAAACAAACAGTTTGAATTCTTCAAAGCCAGTTAAAATTGATTTCAATGTTAAGTTAAGAAGAGCCTGTTTTTTGTTTTTTTTTGTGAGGATCTGCACAGCCTGAGGGGAGATTTCAACCCTGAAATGGGCAAAACTTGTGCAGGATCAGCTCCCATTGGTTGTGATCTTTGGGGGGAGGGGATGGTGGGGTTACAAAGCCTGATTTCTTGCCTGAACCATGAATGATCTGGCTCTTCGGCAGAAAATGTAAGTCTGATTTAACTCAGGAGCCATGAGGTATAATTTCCCACATGGCTGCCGTGAAATGATCTGTACGGCAGGGGACTAGCTTAAACAATTTTCATTGAAGACATGCTGGGATATTACACCAAACACGGGTGCAAAGCAGACTCACAGATCATACTGTTTGCCTCTTTATCCTTCTGCAGCTTCTTGTTTTGCTATTTTCTTCTCACTTTACCGTCACAGAACTGCATGAAGTGCTGTTGTCTTACCCTATATCTATTACTTTGGCCTCTTAGGACTGACTGGGGGTCCCATTTTTATGTCAAGTGTTAGCAGGCAAGTGTTGACCAGTGGACGTGGACAGTTCATACAACAGAACATTCAGTTATTAAAGCAAGGTCTGTTCACTTGAAGTTAAAGCAAATTTAAACATGATTTCATGCAAATCCCAAAATCCCTCTGGCATTTTAGCAAGAAGATGAAGAACTTGAATGAATAACACTGCTGTAAAGACGTAGTAGCAAGTAGCTGTCTTGTTTCTTATTAGTCATAAGTTGTTCTATATGTGACAGTTAAATCCTCTATGCAGAGATAAGCATACCTTTCATTTGGTAATAGGCTTATATTTCTAATCTTTCCCCTAATTGTGATCATTTCGCTTTAGTGACTTGACTTTGAGCTGGACCTGGGCAATGACAGAATATATGTCAACCGCAAATGTCAAAGAATACTTGATCCGGGGTAAAATGGCGATGAAATGTTTTTCTCCTGGGTATTATCTGAGAGAGACCGCCATTCAATTTTTAATATCACACCCCTAATGCCTTCAGTGCATCTCTTCTGTTCTCCAGCTTTTTTGTTCCCCATTCCCATGATCTTTTCTGTAATTGTCTGCAGATTTCCGTCTTCCTCTCTCCTGCTTTTCACCCTCCGTCACTCATATTTCCCCTCCAATCACTCCCAAAGCTCACTCCTGATTGTTGCTAAGTTGCTTTCCATCAACACATCTACCTCCATCTCTGTCTCTAGTGGTTCAGGCCAAAACTTGCATTCAGGCGCCATGCTTGTGCTGTTGGCATCTACATTTCAGGATTTAGAGATCGCATTTTATCCCTCTACCTATCACCCTTTCTCTTTTTCACACAACAAAAGGCTCAAAGCTCTCACTCTTGAAAAATAGAGTGAGAAAACTGCTACTCTATTCTAACATCGATCCACCGTTCACATCAGTTTGTCGCCACTTACACTTCCCCTTCTATCATTATTTCACTCCTTCATTTCCAAATCTGAGGCCAATCTTCCGCCTGGACACATTGTCCTCAGCCTCCAACACTCTTAAGAGTCCTGTCTCTTCATAATAATCATCAATGAGAGAAACTAATAGCTGGTCAAATTGCTGTGAAGTGTGTGTCAATGCAACCGCTTTACTCAGAAGGAAAAGGAGCAGTGTTGTTTTCAGAGGGCAGATGAAGGCTCAGATTTCTAACTATATCTATTAACTATCTAACGATATCCTCACCATGCATATATTACACAGGTAAGACTTGTGTAGTGCAATGCTAATAGTTTGATTTAGTGTTTTTATTAGCTGGCAGGTAGAATCCGGAGACTCTCAAGCAGACATAAAAGGTGTCAACAAAAGAGAGTGTGTTGAAAGCAAATAGCTTTAGATCTGCAGCCGCGTGGACCATTTAGGGTTTTCATTCTACATTTATTACCCCAGCAGCTCCTCGCAACTCTCTCTGTTCAGTGATTAAGCTGCCTCACTTGACTGCTGCAAAGCAACTACAGCGATTAACACGACAACAATTTGCTCTGTTACAAAAAGTGAAAAGAAACAGAAGTAACACGGTCTTTAGAGCAGCAAGATGAGACGTGACAGAGATCCTTTGAATCGAAACAAGTAACCAGTAAACAGCAATTTCTTTTGATTTACAAAAAAAATGTTTCAGTCAACCTTGCGGTTACACCTTTCATTTTCTGATTCCAGTTTCCAGAAGTGGATATGTTTATTTTACTGTTTGATAATTGAACAAAGGAAAGCTTTAAGTTTTGAGAGGTCAGTTGGAGTCGATCATTTCTGTACAGTTTTAAACCAGCTGATTAATCGACAAGGAAAATAAACATTATTTGTAGCTCTGCCATTACTAAACTTTTGCACCTTTTAGTTGTGTTTAAAACACTTTTTTTTTGCAGAAACATCAGACATGGATTTTTGGGGTTTTTAAACCTTTTTTTTTTTATGCTCACATACCAACAATTTCAAGCCCCCTGAAAGTCTGGCAGAGTTGAAATAGTTGTGTTGTGTAACAGATTGATGTGACAGACAGGGCTCTAAATTCTGTTTCATATTACTGTTGTTAGAGGTTAAAGTCCTTGTAAGGGTGAGGGATAAATTGCTTAGCCTTCGCCGCGGGTCAGGGCAAATGGTTGTTGATATTCAGTGACATTTTCCAACCCGTCCAAATGATATTGTGAGCAGGGTCTCAGACTGGACTACATTGTAGATAAGCCCTGGGCACTTCCCTCATACTCTCACACACACACAAACACACACATTTGCGCACACACACACACACACACACATCAATTTATTTTTAATTTGCTCTGTTTTGATAGCACACTTCGCTGCAAGGTCTAATGAAACACTATGAAGTCATACTCATTACGATGCACAGCTAGCAAATTACTCATCACTTAAAATTTAGCATATGTGACATAACCTTTCAATATGTCTCGATGCTGGCTTTCTCAGGTATTCACATCCCATGATTCCTTTCTGCAACCTGTGGATAAAACACAGTCAGCAGTCCAGCCGTGACTCAAGCCACTGAGCTAATGTCAGAGCATTATTTCTGTAATGCCTCAGCGGCACGTCTGTAATGTCTTCTTAATGTTTCAGTCAGTCTGAGTCATACTTCAACAGGGTCACATGGCTTCTAGCCATTAATGCTAGCTGACTGAGGTATCATAAATCCAGAGAGAATCGTCTTCTGCAGATTAAATGGAGCTGGAGAAGTTTAAGCTGTCGCCAAACCCACTCACCTCTGCCTCTGCACAACCTCCGCCCTGATACACACGAATACACACATACACAGACACACACACACACACACACTGCCCGGAGAGCTTAGAGATGCCAAGTGAGCAGGGTGTCGCATGAGCCAGAGGACCAAGGAGATTGGCTGGCGATGCCTGAGGAGTCTGACGTGAAGTACAAACACACACACACACACACACACACACACACACACACACACACACACAGACAGACAAAAGATACAGGGACACACAGCACTGACCTTAAAGCTCCAGTAGTTTGGCTGTTGCTGTGGAGTTCATGAGGGACAAAAGAGGAAAAGAGAGGGAAAAAGAAAAAAAAGTTAGTAAAATCCTTCTCCCATAAGGGCTGACGTTCTCCGACAGAAACAAAACACTATTAACCAAATGGTGCATAAAAAAAAGCTAGACAGGAGAGGAGATAGAGTCTGGCTGCAGGCCTTTGTCACCAGAATACAATGCCTTTGTCCTAAAGAAGCATCATCAGTTGCATTTCCGAAATTGTTTCCGTGTAATTTGTTTATTTTCTGACAGGCTATTTATGAAACCCATTAATATTGTTGACAGCTTCATCTAATACGACCATCTCAACCACGATCATTAGGTTTGATTGGTGTTAATGCAGGGGGAGGCGGTTTTGCAGGCGTCGGTTTTGCAGGCGTCGGTTTACAACGCACCTGAAATAAGATTGCACTGTTGGGAAGGAAATGAAAAGAGCAAAATCAAATCAAAACAAGGGCCCACTCTGTTTTCCAGCGTTGGCCTTTCTCCCAGACCTCTCCACCACACGCAAGCAATAGCTCTGTCTCCTTCTCGCTCGCTATCCACCAGCCTGAATCTTTTAACTCAACCTTGCCAGCTCACCTGTGTGTTTTCACCAGCCCATGCTGGATAGTTCATAAATCCATTTACCATTCCTGATGCTCTGCCATTTATGAGAAAGATGCTCATATGTCGGCTGAGGCCTCAGGATGTGAGCTTTCCATTTAATCATAATTACCCCAGAGTCAAATCCAGGCCAAGGCACTGATGGCCCAGAAATACCTCAAAATGACAAAGAAAATTAAAAAAGATGGAGGAGAGTTCATGAATTTTAATTCTAATCCAAACTCTTATTCTAGGTCTCATTCTTATCTGCAGGCAGTTTTCAGCCCGTTCAGTCTCTGCAAGGTACCCCCATTACTCTCCTGGCACAGGGAGGGAAAAAAAGGTGCCAGGGAAGTTTTGATTGATGATAGCTGGTGGTTTTCTCATTATCAGCCTTTCATTTTACTACTGTCACAACAAATAGCCAGGATCATTTCAGTAAACCCAAGCATCAGAGTGAGCATTTTCATCTGTTGACTACTTTATTGTAATCCAAACTTTCACATAATGTTCCCTCGTTTGGCCTTGATGCCAAATGTCTCTGACAGTCTCTTTCTGCGCTAAGCTCTTCTCTTGCGCTCTAGTTTTTTTCCTTCCTTTCTCTTTGTATTGCTGTGCATCTCCTTGCTTGTTTATGATACAATATGAAGTGTCATCAGTGTTTTGCTTTTCATATATGGCTTGGTTAAGTAATTGTAGAATATATTTTTGTCTTTCCAGCTGTGAGCTCCTTTCCTTTTTGCGTTGCATCATTGGACCAGAGCTTACATTACATCTACAGAGCACTAAAAAAACAAGGACTTCTTATTAATTGTAATTAATTAATTTTAGGTAAACTCTGTCATTTTGGCAATGTGAAAAGGCCAATACTACATACCTGCCTAGTGGTACCTGAATTTCACTTGTGATATAAGCTTATTTCAGTCACACAACTCATGTTTGCATTTGGTTAAAATATTCATTGCAGCAGCAGAACATAGTTTGTGTTTGCTGTCAAGGCTCCGACCTCATCTCCTCGTAGTTTTATTTTACATGCAGATATTTGAGGAGTGATGGGATGAAATCTTAAACCCACAGTAGGAGCCTCCGAGCGGATTATGGGGTGGTGGTAGAGCTGAGCAAGAGTACAGGACTGCGGGTCAGAGCTGGAAATGAAAGGGCAGTGGGAGACTGGAAATCTTGCAGCTTGAATAGAGCACTAGTTGGAAGGGGGGTGTTGTCAGGTGAATGTGGAGAATGACGCATGTCAAGTGTGAAATCAATGTAGATCGAGTTTTGTCTGCCTCAACTAACACACACTAGTAATATAAGTAAAGAAATCATATGCAAGTGGCCTTAATTGTGGCATAATAATAGCAGGTGTTGGAATCAAAGGCCATAACAACACTACAAACTTTAACAAGAAACCAGAGCTGAATTATCTGATGCCAAACATGGAACATTAAAATCTTCATTCTAAAGGAGACGCTTTCCAAGGCATTTCAGTGTGTGTTATTCTGAACACCACATCATGTCGGCTGAGGGAGAAGGGATTGTGTGATCTTTATAATTTTGAAATGCTGAAAAAATAAAACAGTGTATTTATCTGAGAGTGCCTCGCCATGCTGGAACGGAGACAAGTGGGACCCTGAAAAACGATATGGAGCCTAATCTCAGCCCACGCTTGCTTTTCCCCATAGCATAAGATTTTCTACCAACATACAGTATGTCAAAGCAATTATTATTAAAGACAACTCTTTGATGTTTCACTGAGGAGAATCTATGTCTCCTGGCTAGTTTTTTTTTTTTTAAATCCCATATTGTGCAGCGTCCAGGGAAAACCATGTATATCAATGTATAGTCTGAAGGATTTAACTCTGCAGTACGAGTTACCAAGAAACAAATTAAACAACTTTAAAAACGTCTATATTTCCCTTTAACGGCATGAACACATAGTCTAGACAGTTTGTTTTACTTAAAAGTAATCAATTTCTTTTGCAAGACAGTGACAGATCTGAATATTATACAACATCTTTGATTCTAAGGATTGTTTCAGGAAACTTCGGCTCTGGGGTGAGAGGTCATACCTAAAGTGGGTCACTTTCAGGGAAAAGATAACACACGAGGTGTTTCAGGTTGAAATTGTGTTGGCCTTGAACCCCTCATCATGTGTCAGTCATTCATTTTTTTTTGTCGTCAGCCAGTAAAGCGTCGTCCTTGACAGCCTGTTATATGAGGGGCACAGCTGATGTGTCATAAATAACTGTTGGTTCACATGTTCCGGCAATGTTAATGATTTCATTTTCCCTCCAAGCTAAGTGAGTGTGAGGGCTGGCTAATAATGGTTCAGAAGTGATTTGTGGTCTTGTGCGTCTGTCTCTGTTTGTTGCTTTAATGAGGCTGGCTCACTCACGCTTCTCAGGTAAACACACATTCACTCTCGGCCGCCTCGTGTTGTTTTAACCGTTGCTCTGCTGACAGCTGCGGATGAGCCTGCAGTCAGCCTGGACTTTGAGTTGCAAACAGCTCGGCGAGAGTGCGAAAGCAAACTTGAGTAAGCTTATTATCCCTCGACAGTTCTCCATCAACCCACACATTTGTCCAGAGCAGAAATCATACTCAAGACAGACCTACTCTCAAGCACTGTCACACTAACTCATTCAGCCGTAATCTCAGGTGACAGATGAAACTCTTGACTGAGCTTAGCTCAAACGTACATCTTGTATTTTTTTTTTAACCTCGTGTTCATTTAAATGTGCTGTGAGCCCCGAGGAGAAGGTGTTACTGCTCTATGTTTCAGACGGCAGATTAATCTTGAGGCTGAAGGGCTTAATGCTTTCCTGACTGCTAAGTAAAGACACTGATGTGTACATTTTTAACCCACAGCCCTGTATGTGCACTCACTGGAGCTGCCGAGCGAAGGACGTAGCCTCGCACAGAAGAGCTGCATTACCTGACCTGCATTTAAAGCAGCCTGCACTCGCATCACCCCTCCTCCAGCCCCGTCTCTTTCTCATGTCGTCATCCCTTCTGCACCCCCACCATCCAGTTCTCAATCATTCTTACGCTCTCCTCCTCAATCCTCCTCCAGTCCTGTTTAGTGTCTTGACGTTACCGCAGCCCTCTTTACCTTTCTCCCTCTGCTATTTAGAAAACACATGCACAATTCGGCACAACAACCCAACACCCACCCCAAACAGTCACACAGTGAGCCCTGTGTACAGAATCGTCCACTCAGCCTCCGTCTAGCCTGCTGAACATATGCACACCGTCACCACAACAACCACAACAAACACAACACAGCGTGGAATCTAATCCCAGCTGGAACAACCCTCTCCCCCCCACACGCGTATACCTCCCTAAAACAGCCTCCAGCTTACAGCTTGCAGCCCCTTCTCACCTGCAGTGCACCTGTGCCTGTCCACCTCTCCTGTCATCCCCGGCTGTCCGTCAGGTGCAGCAAGTCCTCATCGCGTTTTTGCCCGTCTCTCCCTCCCTCGGCTTCACCTACCCTCCCTCCCACTCACTTACTTAATCTCCCCCCTCTCTCTCTCTCTCTCTCTCTTTCTCTCTTTCTCTCCGTCTCGCTCTCCAGTAGCACATGCGGCGGATACTCTTTATTTAATTCATTACAACACCAGCCGATTAACTCCTTCGCAGATGGGTGGCTGGCTCCTGCTGGTGCTGGCTAATTGAGCGGAGGGCTGTTTGACTGGCTGCTGCGCTCCTCTCCGGCTCCTCCTCTCCCCCCCAATCCTCCCTCCCCCTTCCCTCGCTGTCCACGATTTGTACAATCCACGAGATGACAAGAGATCCTGGGCTCTGCTGCTTCCTCCCTCTGTGCAGTGAAAATGCCCTGTCACTTCAGAATCCCTCCACTCACAGGGCTGCTTCTTCTATTTTTTTTTAACTGTCTTCCCCTCACATTTGGTTCCTCTCTCCACTCTGTCTTCATTATTGTACAATTCCTCCTTCTCTACACAATCTGACCTTTGCAATGCGATATCCCTACTTGCCATTTATGGGAGAGGTTGCCACGGAAACAATGGACTCCACCTGTGTTTCACCCGCCCACCCTCGCTTGCTGCTCTCTCTCTTTCTCTCTCTCTCGCTCTCTCTCTCTCTTTCCATCTCCCATTCATTCTCTGCTGTGCTTTTGTGAAATCACTACCCTCAAGTTACGCTCATTTTAAACCCACACATATCAGTAGTGCTCACACTATGCATGTTTGTTTGTATACGGTACAGCTTGTGCATGTGTGTTGGACTCAGTGAGATAAGAACCAGCAATAGAAAACTTCTGAGGCTGCGGAACTGTTCAAAGTATAAACTCAACGATCGAAGGGGAGATAAAATGTTGGAAAAGAGCAAAAGAGAAATATCACTCCCAGAGATTCAGGGAAAAACATTAACTGCACTAAACATGTGACTTCCTGCCATACCTAAACAGTCTCCCCCACTATGTCAAAGTTCTGCAGGTTCTCTGGCAGCAGAAACACAAATGGCAGTCTTTCTGTGACAGTTTAAAGACAACCTCCATAACCCAGATTCAATAAACCCTTTGTTATTAAATTGGGTCTCCCTCCATTATTCCAATAAGTGTGACATGCAGCCTTGTGCTGCTTTTTCTCTGGCTGCTTTTTGACAAGGAGCTATTTCTTTTCCTGTCCATACAAACCATTCTGTTCTTTGTGTATATGTGATGGCCCTTGCCAACAGTTTTCCATCACCAAAATGGTCAAATTAAACTTTTCAGCTAATTTTATATCCAAAATGTGCTTACAGTACAGCCAAATTGAGTGTTTCATGAGTGAATACATAAACTGTATTGGACAAAGACGTAAGAGGGATATATAAACAGAGAAAATAGAAAGCTGCAGTAATGAGTACTTTAAATGTAATCACTTCCGTTTCCATCGTCTTGAAGTCGATGGGATTTATCAATTTGTTTTTCGGTAAGATGTTCAAAACAAGGTCTGTGGTAAACACACGCTGAAGAGATTCAACCATTCTTTTATTGCATATAAAGTATGACATAAAATACATCTGGAAGTGCAGCACTTTCTTGTGAATTTCTTTTTCACATCTTACAACAGATGCTAACTGGCTAGCAAGGACTACAGAGTTTGTTGGTAGCGTTAAACATCATCACGCTGACCGAGAAGCTTAGTGATGGTGACGTTAAAGTCAGTGGACAGTGGTGTAGTTTATTCATAGTCTAACATTAGAATTTTACTTCCGCTGATGCGTTTACACTTCAGAAATTATGAAAGCAGTCTCAGATATTTTTCTTTTGTTGCCACAGAGCTTATTTTTAGAAAAAAAAAACAAAGAACCAGAGATGCAACCGGTGCGATGCTTACTTCTGGGTCGGCCTTCAGAAATACATCATTGCTGCAGCACTCTATTCTTTTCAAAGGGGAGAAACCCTGAAGGGATTGTGAACTGCGTACCTGTTCCCGTGCAGCTCGATCTGATGAACCCCTCATGCTGGCGTGGGAGGGAGAGGGTGAAGGGGGGTTGTGGTGTGGGCTGTGGTGCGGATGCTGCAGCTGCTGCTGCTGCTGGTACTTGCTCTTCAGGTGATCCATGAAGGCATCCCTCTTGCGTTCCATGTCAGCCTTGTGCAGGTTTGTCAGGGCCTCCAGGCTCTGTGCAGCGCTGACGCCATGGCGGTGCTCTGACGTGTGCACCAGGCCGACATTGGAGAAGCGACGAGCGGTGTTCCCAAGTGTCCGATATTCCCGTGGATACTCCAAGTCATCAGTCGAGATCATGTGACTGCCACCCCGCTCGGGATCTGAGGGAAGAGGAAGGAGGAAAGGAAGGAAGGGAAAAAGGGGAGAAGGAAGGAAGGGTAGGAAAGTTTGCATGAAAGATGTGAATCACCACCCACACAGGCATGCAGAAAGATTTCAGGGTGGAGGCGCACAAACACACAGAGCAGGCGCACACAGGTGGAAACAAATGGAGCAGAAAGAATGAGAGTGGCAAAAATGAGGCACAGAGAGGACAGTACAGAGAGAGGGAGGGAGGGAGAAAGAGGAAGAAAAGGAATGGGATGTTAGACTATTTGCCACCAGGACGGAGTGGTTCCCTGCAGAATTATTGATTTCAAGTTCTGAAGGGAAGAAAAACGAGAAAAGTCAAATGCTTTTGCAATAGATCAAAGGTAGTGGCTCCGGCTGAATTTGCCTTGCTGGATATTCCGTTGCGGTATACCTTCTTGTCATTTTAAGTGGCTTTCATTGTTTTCCTAAGGAAACAGAAAGAAAAAAATAGAATCCAGAAAATTGAGGTGATTGAAAGTCCGATGGAGAACATGAAGGAAAACTTCTTTCATATTTGTCCTTGTTCCGGCTGTTTCACACCAGCTCCTGTCCATCTATCTGAGCTTTCCCTCCATCTCTTCACACCCACTGCTTGGCCTTACATATTCTCACTGTCTCTTGTCTAAAGGTTTCTTATTCTGCTGTCCAGTTTTAAGGAGGGCCTCTGACAGCCCCTGGCCTTTAAATCAGAGCTTTTAACTGACAGACAACACGGCCCGAGGTGGAAAGCATAAAAAGGGAAGGGAGACAGCTGGGAGGAGACGATATGGTTACACAAAAAAAAAATACATGTGATGAAAAAACTCAAAGGATGATAGAAGAGCAAGTTGCCATTTGCCGTGTAGGTTACCTTGCTTAGGAAAACAGGCCCTGCCGTGGGCTGGAAGACAAAACATGCAAAAAAGGGTTAATTTATGTGTTTGTGCAAGGACGTGCAGGTAAACACACCAGAACACCAAAACATGGGCATCAGAAAAGAGCTATCATGAAATGATGGCTCTTTCTCTGAATCACAAGTAGTCAATGCATTAAATATGCATTATAATGTATTCAAAAGGGTAAACGTGTAAGGAAATGGTGGGCTATGAATACTAATACTGTCACACAATAACCTTAAGAATGGTATAACCTATTTCATGCATATTCACAGGAAAAACTTCACAGATAATGTTTACAGAAAAATGATAGACCGATATTTATGTCTGACCTTAAAGAGTATTAACTGTATAAACTTAAGACTTGACACAGGTAGAAACAATTCTAGTTGATGAGTATCAAAAAAGTATCATTTATATAATGTATAAGAAAGTCTACAACTGAAATCAGAAAAGGTGCTGACACACAACATATCTGATAAAGTGGACCGTCTGTGCTTTAAGTCTCATCAAGCAGCATTTGGATGAGCTGAGCAGAGGAGCAGCAGAGGGAAGCTCCTCCGGGCAGGAGCAACAAATGGACTGTTAATGAATGCAGAGAAAGAGACAGAAAGCTGGCCAGACTGAAGCCAAACAGAGCTGTGATGTGTTCCAGTGGACGGCCTTTACACAGAGGAAGCCTGTTCGGGGCAGGAGGTCTGGGAATCTCTCAAACACAGCTGCAATCAAACTCGTTGTAAAACCCATTTCCCACTCTATTCATTCTTGGAGAGATATCGCGCTCGAGTGTGATTTGCTGTTTTTAACACCATGCCCTTACATCAACTACATTATGAAGTGCTGATAAACTGAGCAGGGGTGAGGCAAAATGGACTGACCTCCTGGCTAATAGCATTAGCATTGAGCTCTCCGCTGCGCACCGAGGCCACTGGCCATATTCATCTGGCCCCCTCGCAGCCTCCCAGATCTCTGGTTTACACTTCATTAGGCTGGAGCTTATTGTGCATCAGCTAACAAGGACCTGACTCAAGGGCCCCATTACAATAGATGGAAAAGCTGGGCCCATGTACTATGGCTTATTATTGCGACTGAGCATTCACAACGGCGGTGAGCGGCTGAGTGGGCTATGCTGACTCTGAACAAACATAAATCTGAAAAGAGAAAGAAACCCTGCATCAGATACACGTGACTAACATTGGCATCAATTTAAGGAAGAAAAAGAAGGTAAACAAGTTAATTGCTTGCAGACAACTGCCAAAAAATATGAACTCTTTCAATCTTTTTTGTAAAGCTGTTTTGGTAACCAAAAAAAAACTTTCCACATTGCAGTTTGTGGATGTACTTTTCAAAGCTGTATTCAGAGACCTCATCTTGAAAACAGCGGGAGTAAAAGTTGTGGGCAGAAAAGTAAGAAAAGAAAATAGGAACAGGTTATTCATCTTTACTTTCGACATTCACAGCCAATGCATTTCCACATAAGCTCGCAGACAATAACCCTGACAGCCAAAACAATCTGTGCAAGCCCACGCAATGCCAGCACCATTTAAAGCGACATAAAAGAGCCTTGATAGGGTGGGTTCCTGGAGAACGCTTTATCACATCGCTATGTCAGTCAGCAAGTTTTGAGTCTGCAGCAGGCTAGATTGCAACTACAAAGACCCAGAGCTTCAAGGAAAAAAGGGTACATCATGTTGGGCCAAGAAATGATAAAGCACATAAACGACAACGGGAGGCCTGCAATCAAAGTTGATAAGATCTGTGAGCCCAGCCAATGAGGCGTGGGCTGCATTGTCACGATAGAGAGTACAGTCAAGAGAGCATTAACCTGATGGTTGAAAAAAAGAGACTCTGCGGTAGGCACTGAGAGATAAGACAAGACACACAGACAAGGAGAAATCACCTGCACAGAGAAAAAGATACAGCAAGACAAAAAAAAAGCAACTTCTAGTGAAGCAATCCAACACCATTTGGTCTTTCAATGTGTTTTCCTGAAGGACCAAACGGCGTATTGGTTTTAAATTTTGCATAAAAAAATAACTTTCTCAATCAGGGGAAGCTGCTCCACAGACTGAATAAACCTGTAGGAAAAATAGGGAATATAGGTTTATATAATAAATCTTTCTTTTTTCTTTTACTAAATGTCTTTTTTCCTTAAGTCTTAATAACGTCAATTGCTCAGATCTGTTGTGCATCTCAATGAGCTACATTCTCAACTTTTTACTTTTAGAGTCATACGTCTCCAATGCTCTCAGCAGTTTATTTATTCTTGTAGGGAAATTCAGCCTGTGACACCAAGCGTTTGCCAACCCACCCACAACGACTATATACATATGGAGATAATAATATTCTGTGCCTCCTCAGCCAAATCCTGAACCATATTCTCGAAAAGAAATGTGTGTTTCTTCTTTTTGGGCCTTTTCTATTGCAGGAGCAAAACTATGAAACTCTTTGCCCCCAGACATCCGTCTCTCTCCCACTATTGGTGTTTTTAAAGCTCGCCTTAAAAACATATTTTTACTCAATTGCTTTAAATGTTCAGTAACCCGCTTTTTTTTTTTTTTTACATTTTTTTAATTGTTGTTATTCTTGTCTGTTACTTTTTAATGCTTTGTTTCTGCAATGTTCAGCACTTTGGATCAATCAATGTTGTGTTTAAAGTGCTATATAAATAAAGTTGATTTGATTTGATTTGATTTTCCCCACAGTAACCTACAGGACTTTTACTTTAAACTCAGAGAAGTTGGGTTTCATCATATGCATGGTGCATCCAGTGTGTGATGGAGACTCGAGAGGTGAGAAGGAAAAGTGAATTGGTTGTGCTTTAATGGATTTGGAGGAAGCAGGCAAGTGCAAGGTTTATATTTTAAGGGATGTTTAACAAGTGGGTCAGAGGGAGACGAAGGTGTAAGAGAAGAAACCTGCAGACTGCACAGAAGCAAGCAGAGCTCTGCTTGATTCTTCAATGGCTAAATGAAAAATGATTTATGCAGCTTGGTGCTACATGAATGAATCCCTCTGTCAACGCTCTATTGAAAAAGGTATTTCATAAATATTATGGCTATATATTTTTCATTATTGTATCATATACAGAGTTCGATGTAACATTCATGTTGTTTTATTTAACCAGCAGCACAAACCCAAATATATTTATACTAATTACCAAATAAGACAAAGTAAAACAACAAATCTGTATTTGAGGAGCTCACATTCTCAGTTCTACTAGCCATAAAAAGTTTGAGTAAAGTCATTTTCTAGACACCAGACAGAATGCTTTTGAGTGCTTTCAGGATGAGAAATGTTAATGACTTTTTCTGCATTATCTGAAATGAAAACTAGTTCTCTAATTACTGTCTGGCTCCCCGTTTTTACAAACACAAGGTCCTTTGTAGCTACTGTCTATAGAGGCCTGAACTGTGCACCGATATTCATTAAGTAAGGCTAATGAAGACCTTGAAAAGTGTTTGCAATGTAAATCTGCTTATTAAATTAACTACATGATAGGAAACATTCTGCATAACTTAATCAGCTGGTAAAGAATATGCTGAAGCCAGTCAGAAAATTCATGGATTTCACAGATGTCTACAAACATTTTTAGTGGTGCCAATAACAATAATCGATTAATCTTCATCTAATGAACGGTCTGCAGCTTTACTTATTCTCTGTAATGATGTGATTTTTGAGACCACTCCTCAATTCATCCATGATTGGTTTCTCTTATAGTTCAGAGTCCTCCCTAGAAGGTCTGTTGTTCTGCAGATGGTTGGGGAATGCACAGCGAGCTCGTCCCTCTGATACGCAGCCTAATTTGGCAGGGCTCCATGTGGGATTCTTGCTGTGACAGCAAAGGTGCATAGAATGGCTGAATATTAACCAGAAGAAGAAGAAGGAGGGGGTAAAATCAAGTAGAAATAGGTAACAGTAAGTCCAGTATGTGTGAAGGTTAAGACAACAGAATATAACTCAATTTAGTCTCAGTCGGAATACTTTGGAGAAACATACTTTGGGGGAGAGAGGTGCATGGGAGGATTGAATTTAATCCTCTGAAAAAAAAAAAAACACCAATTGGGTCTTCAAGACATGCTATACTTGATGTCTGAACTTTTGTTTGCATCCCTCTTATGTGGCTCTTTCAGCGTTCTCACTAGTTATGTTTGCTCTTTACTTAAAACGAAGAGGCTCCCTATAAAGACACATCACCCAGCAGGCATGGGCACTTCACTTTTTCTTTCTCCATTAAGGTAATCTCTGAAAGCTTTGAGCCACTGCTGTGCCAAGAGGGGAGAGGAAAAAAGGGTGGAAATTGACGTCTGGGTAGCAAGAGCGACCTATGAGAAGGTCATCCTGCACGTGTGTGTCTTGCTGGACGTGGTAACAGGTAGAGACAATCAGAGAAAGCTGCAATCCACTTGAAGTGATGGTATACCCTCTCTTATCATTAAGTACCACAAGGAGTGATGTGCCAATCTTATCACCTTTTTCGCTCTCCTCTGTGAATCCATTTTCTGCCTCTCATCCACATGCCAACTCTCCCACATGCAAACTTAGTTTCCCTGGGCAACACATGAGAACACTGTGGAGGCATCTACGTTTATATTGCAGCCGGATCAAGCTGTTAACACATAATTGCGCACACTTGGATAATCAGAGCATGCTATGGCTCCACTGCAACATATCTGAGGCTGTGTGCCGCTGCAAACTACAAATGTGTGAATATTTGACTGGAGGATGAATACAAGAGGTGGTCTATAACTAGAGAGGGTAGCAAGCATAATGCACTTCTTTGTTTACTGAAAAAGCTGGATGTCTTTTTGTGAGAGAACAGCAGGCCGGCAGCAGGTGAGAGAGCCTCTGAATTACAGCCTGTTGTTGGTCAGTCGGCAGACTGTTGCAAGTGGGTGTGAAGAAAAAAACAATTCAAGCCACACCTTGTTACATCAGTGCTGCTCACGTTTACTTCACTGTGGAGCTGGGTGCTACTTTTGGATAAGATGGTGGATGGAGAAAA